AGAGGGACTTGAGTTACACAAACAACCTCCCCTAATATACACACATGCATGTGCACACGCAGGTACACACACACACACACACACCTTCGCGCAGCTGTGGCCACAGGGATCTTATTAAAATGTATGTCCTTCCCTCTCCCTTTCTCTGTTGTGTGTGTGTGGGTGACCCCATTCCCTGCCCTGCCTCTTCAGGAGACTTTCAGGATCAAGCTATTCCTGGCCAGGAGACTCAAACAGAATCATCTCATTCCCCAGGGGACTCGGATGCAAATGTCATAAAACTGGTGCGACTTCAAGAGGAGACCTTGGAGAAGAGCCAGGAGGAGTTGCACACGAGGTGGCACACACATTCGTGCTGTATCAAGGTCACTACCATCTCACATATCGAGCTGAAAATGTCATCGCTGTCTGGGCATTTGGACCTGTTTTATTGGGAAAATGATTTTTCTCTTCATCTCTATGAGTATTTGTTCCGTAATGAAATACTGGAGGCTGGGTACTTTATAAAGGGAAGAGGTTCATTTAGCTCACAGCACTGGAGGTTTAAGGCCACGGCACGGGCATCTTCTGATGGGAGCACGTGAGAGAGGGGGAGATCATACAGTAGGGCAGGAAACCAGAGAGAGGAGAAGGGCCACATTTACTGTTTTTATAATTCACTCTTATTATTATTATTATTTTTTTTTTTTTGGACAGGCAGAGTTAGACAGTGAGAGAGAGAGAGAGAGACAGAGAGAAAGGTCTTCCTTTTCTGTTGGTTCATCCCCCCAAATGGCTGCTACGGCCAGCACGCTGCGCCGATCCAAAGCCAGGAGCCAGGTGCCAGGTGCCCCCTCCTGGTCTCCCACGTGGGTGCAGGGTCCAAGCACTTGGGCCATCCTCCACTGCCCTCCCGGGCCACAGCAGAGAGCTGGACGGGAAGAGGGGCAACCGGGACAGAATCCAGCGCCCCAACTGGGACTAGAACCCAGGGTGCTGGCACCGCAGGCGGAGGATTAGCCAAGTGAGCCATGGCGCCGGCCTATAATTCACTCTTGAGAGAACCTACCCACCTCCTAGAGGGCTCCCGTAAGGCCTTCTGAGGGCAGTGCCCTCATTTACCTAATGACTTCCCACCTGGCTTACCTCTTAAACATCTTCACCATCTCCCACGCCACCATAGCGGGGACCACGCTCCCAACACAGGAACCCTTGGGGGATGCACTCAAGTCACATCCAAGCCTTAGCTCTGTGCTGTGCCCTAAGCTGATGGCAGCTCCCAACCCCTGCCCATTTCTCAGCCCTCCTCCTCCCCTTCTTGCTGTGTTTCCCCCATAGCCGGGCCATCCCCTCACTCGTGCGTTCTGTTGACTACCCCTACTTGCAAGCATGTCAGTCCCACAAAGGCAGGGACCTTAGCATCTTCATTGCTGTGTTCACGTTGATAGTAATTCTCAGTGCCCAGGCCTGGAAGTGGGCGCTTAGTGCTTGTTGTTGTTGTGAACACGGCAGGGACTCCAGTTCTGGCTGGTGCAGGTAAGGGGTGTGGGCCACTGCAGGAGCATGATCTCTTCCCTGATTTCCAAATGAGGGAATTGGGCTGAAACTGTGGGGGAATTGTGCAAATCACAGAATGAGCCCCCATCTCCATGCACGTGACCCTGGCTGGTGGACATGTCACAGTCTGAGACCTCCAAGGGGAGCCAGGCCCCCTCTCTGCTTTGACATTTCACAGTTGCCTCTGATAGGCTCCAATCCTGGCTTTGTAAGAACCTACGGTGCTAAATATCCCATGATCTTATTCAAGCCCCAGCAGCCAGTGCTCTGGGTTGTGGGGAGGGAGGGAGGGTCCTGGGGGGCCTTGGTGGCGTCAGCCTGGTAGGGGAGCATGCATGTGGGAGCAGAGACAAAAGGAGACTCCGCTGTCACATGCAGTGCTTTCTTCCTTGTATTGTAAATAAACTGGATTGAAAGCAAGTGTGGCAAAATGTGAACAATCGTAGATGCTGGTTCCCGGGCACAGGGGTGTTTATCTCAGCTTTGCATTTTTGCTGCATTTCAAAACATTCTTTAAAAACCTGGTTTTGGGGGGGTGGGCTCAACCGCAGGCTCAGGATTAGAAGCAGAGGCAGTTTGGGTGGCCTGGGGGACCTGCACTTGGGATATTTTGGCAGTTTGTGTGTGTTGGGGGGAGGCAGAGGGGATGGCAAGGGTCTGGCTTTTACCGGAGGCTATCACAGCCCTCTCTTCGCCCCCTCCCTCCCCGCCAGGTCTCAGTTTCCTGCCTTCCCAGGGAGTGGGGAAAGGCTGAGAGGCCCCGTGCTGGGGGTGAGGCTAATTCATTAGTGACGCCTCAACAAGGACCGGCGCCCGCGGTGCCAGCGTGAATCATCAGGATGATTGCCCCGCTGCCAGCCTGCGTGGGCCCGGAATGCCGGCACATTTCACCTGTACCCACTGAGGAGGGCCCAATGGGAGGCGAAGGTACAGGATCTACCAAGAGGAAAAAGAAAAGAAAGAAACCACGGAGAAAGAAGAGGGCCGGTCCTCCAGGCTGCGGCCCCGGGGAGCCAGGCCAGGCTGGTGCTGGAGCGCCAGCCCTGAGCATGTGGCGAGGGTGGGCTGCTGAGCCGCCTCCTCCACAGCGAATGTTCCCTTGATCCACACTGCTGGAGGCGGGTGAGGGAGGGAGGGATGGGAAGGTGCTTATCCTAATCCCATGTGCCTGGCTGCGTTTCCCCCCAGCTTTTTGCTTGCTGAGGTTTCAAGAAAGTCTCCTATATTGGAAGGAGGGAAGAGAGTTGGACCGAGGCTTAAGTGAGGTCTGGGGGGAGCCTGAAGCCCCTCCGGCTGCAGTGGAGAATCCTTGTCCATTCCAGGTGCTGGCACTGTCTCTCTCCTGGGTCTGCTTCTGGGGCCTGGAAGTGCTGCCTTCATCGTGTCGGTCTCGGCCAGGTCGAGGTCCCTGCCTGGTTCCTGGCTCACAGCCCCATCCGCCTCAGTGTCCCCCATCATCTCTTCACCCTCAGGATCTCAACTGCCCACTTAACAGCTGCTACTGCTCGGCCATTTCATTTCTTTTTTTTTTTCTTTTAAGATTTATTTATTTATTTGAAAAGCAGAGTTACAGAGAGGCAGAGAGAGAGAGAGAGAGAGAGAGAGAGAGGTCTTCCATCCACTGACTTACTCCCCAAATGGCTGCAATGGCAGGAGCTGCTCTGATCTAAAGCCAGGAGCCAGACACTTCTCCTCGTCTCCCACATGGGTGCAGGGGCCAAGGACTTGGGCCATCTTCCACTACCTTCCCAGGCCGTAGAAGAGAGCTAGATCAAAAGTGGAGCAGCCAGAACTCGAACTGGCACCCATATGGGATGCCGGCACTGCAGGCAGCGGCTTTACCCGTTATGCCATAGCGCCGGCCCCTTTTCATTTCTTTATCCAACAAATGTATTTTGAACATCAGAGCAAAGGAATTTGGGAGTAAAAGAAAAAAAAAGAGTGCTGAAGATTTTCATTTCTATGGAAGTCAAGAACAGGCGAAACTGAAGAGGGGGAGTGTGATGTGGGTGTGTCCATTTGTACACTTGCCACACATGCATTTCACTGTATGTGACGTTTGCTTCCGTGTTTTTTTTTTTTAAATGTGAACATTTTTCACTGACTGTCTACTACACCCCAGAGCCTATGCCAGCAGGCAGGAAAGGAGACAGACACCTGCCTCCCCCCGCAGCTGCACATCCCAGGGATGGTGTTCTCATCCTTGGGTTGCTTGGGCAACCGCCCTCTGCCCTTGGGCACCTCCCTTTCCCCTCCTCTGCCATGGGCACGGCATGGGCGTGGGCCACAGGGCAGGTGCCACCCCAGGTCTGCAGCACACCAGCCGAGTGTGAGAGAGGGCAGGGCGGAGGAGGCACTGCGCACAGGCCCGCTGCAACCTCCCTGTGTGATGCCTTTCCTCTGGGCTCATGCCTTTCCTGTGGTTCTGTTGTGACAGTCACAGACTCGAGAAAATTCCTTGCCAGAGGTGCAGTGACGATCCACGCAAGGTAGGTAAGAGCACCGGCTCTGGAGTCGCAGCTGCTCACCCGCGGGGTGACCTTGGGCAAGGCACCCTGTTCAAGAACCTCTCCGAGCCTCAGTTTCCCCATCTTTAAAACGGAGGTGCTGAGGCTGTCTCTTGCATAGGCTGTAGCAAGGACTCGGTGCACGGGAGTGAGCGTTTCCTATGGCAGGAGGGCTCTGAAGGGGAGCGGAGAAAGCAGGCACGGTGGGCTGGGGGTGGGAGCGCCAGCAGGAAGCCTCGGAACGAGGTGGCCATCGCTGGCTCACTCGTCCCCCAGGCCTCCGTGCGCTGCAGCCACACGGGCGTCGGGGCTGGAACATACAAGCCTTCGGTGCCCGCGAACGCTCAGCCATAGTAAGGGCCAGAACGTAACTCAGCTCTGCGTTGCTATCCTTAAGTGACCCCACAGGGAGACGCGCTGCTGGGTGCCAATGGACCGCAAGACCCCGCCCCTCGGCCGCTCCTCCAGAGCCACGAGCCCAAGGTCCTGGGGTGCGCGACGCGCTGCTACCCTTGTGTTTCCTCTGGGGCAGGAGGAGCAGACGGGATCGGACGTGGAGTGTCAGGGCCAGACTTGCCGGGAGCGGAGCCCTCGGCTGGCGCTAAGCTGCAGGCTGCAGGGATGGGCGGGCAGGGGGCGGGCGCGGGTGCCCGGACCCCGCGAGGGTGGCGCCTTGGCCCCGCCCCATCCCGCCTTTCCTCCGCCTCATTGGCAGCCGCTCGCGCGTCGGGGGTTGCCAGGGCGACGGGTCGCTAAGCTGCGAGTCGGCGAGAGCCGGAGTCAGTCGGCCTCCGGCGGAGGCAGCGGGGGAGGCCGGAGGGCGGGCGGCGGAGCGCGGCGCGCGGCGGCGGCGGCGGCGGCGGGGCCCCGAGCGGGCGCCTCCTCCCGGCCCCGCACGGCCCCCCTCCCGGCGCGGGGGCAGGCCGGGGCGGGGGGCCCCACGGCAGGCGCGGCCGCGGCCCCGTCGGGGCGGCCGGGGGGCGGCCGGGGCGGGGCGATGCCGGACGGCGGCGGCGGCGGCGGCCCCGGTCGGGGCCCGTGACCATGGGCATCGCCGAGTCCACGCCGGACGAGCTGCCGTCGGACGCCGAGGAGCAGCTGCGCAGCGGCGAGCAGCAACTGGAGCTGAGCGGGCGGCGGCTGCGGCGCTTGCCCAGCGCGGTGTGCGCGCTGAGCCGCCTGCAGAAGCTGTACGTGAGCGGCACGGGGCTGCGCGAGCTGCCGGAGGAGATCGAGGAACTGCGCGAGTTGCGCATCCTGGCTCTGGACTTCAACAAGCTGGAGCGCTTGCCCGACGGCCTGTGTCGCCTGCCGCGCCTCACGCGCCTCTACCTGGGCGGCAACCGCCTGCTGGCGCTGCCCGCCGACTTCGCGCAGCTGCAGAGCCTGCGCTGCCTCTGGATCGAGGGCAACTTCCTGCGGCGCTTCCCGCGGCCGCTGCTGCGCCTGGTGGCGCTGCAGTCGCTGCAGATGGGCGACAACCGGCTGCGCGCGCTGCCCGCCGAGCTGCCGCGCATGACGGGCTTGCGCGGCCTCTGGCTCTACGGCAACCGCTTCGAGGAGTTCCCGCCCGCGCTCCTGCGTATGGGCCGCCTGCACATCCTCGACCTCGACCGCAACCGCCTGGGCGGCTTCCCGGACCTGCACCCGCTGCGCGCGCTGCGCGTCTTCTCCTACGACCACAACCCGGTCACTGGGCCCCCGCGCGTCGCCGACACCGTGTTCCTGGTGGGCGAGGGCGCTGTAGAGCGCATGGCCGAGCGCGACGAGCCCACGCCCCGGCAGCCACCCCGGCGCCCGGCGCGGGCCTTTGAGGACGAGGAGGAAGAAGACCTGCTCATAGGGGGCGCCAGCTCGCGGGCCCTGGAAGCCCCGGCTCCGGGACTGGGCACCTGAGGCTGCTGTCTTGGCCATCGATGGGCTTGGCCACCCTGGAAGGAGGGCCTCTGGGTCCCTCTGGGTCTGTCGGGACGGCGAGGGCGGGCACTTTGGGCGAGCTGTGGGCACAGGCAGGCCTAGGGGGCAGCTTCAGACCCTCCCGGGTAGTAAGACTGCTACCTAGCCGATCTCTGGACAGTCGTCGGAGCAAGAAGACTGGGCTCCACTCGCTCTGCAGTAGAACCACTGCCAACACAGCAGAGGTCCAGCTTCCTCCCGAGCCAGGGTCGTGGTGGTCTGTGGAATGATGGCCTCGCCTCGCCCTGAATCCAGATGCCCAGCGCGCCCACCACCCTCGCTCCTGGGGTTGGACCTCCTGGGCCCACCCTTTCTGGTGCAGGAGCTGCTACCTCCCAGGTGCACCGTGTGCCTGGTGAGGCAGAACCGCCTTGGGGGTGGGGCTGGCCCAGGAGCAGGGGCTTGGAGTTGGGCTTGTGCCCAAGAAGAGGGGAAGCCGGGGTTGGAGCAGCTGCCTGGCCGCTGCCCTCACCTGTCTGCAGGGCTCATCTACATACCTCCCTCCCCCGGCCCCCTAGGATTTGGGGGAGGAGGAAGGGCAGGAGGCAGGGGCTCCGTCCCCACCTTTCCATTCGGGTCTCTTCCAGCATGTGCCTGGAATCCTACTGGGCAAAGAGAGCTCTCCCTCCTTTCCCCACAGCCTGTGCCATCAGCTGTCAAGTTTGAAAAGAAGCCACTGTGCCTCCAGGGCCTCCTGCTCAGAAGAGAGGGGCTCTGTGCTCCGGGAGGCCGCCCCAGCACCTCTCCCACTGCCTGCACTCTCCATTCCCTTACATGGGCACAGCCAGGGTGGCTGGCACGGGACGGGCACTGTGTGCCTCCGCTCCGTCACCAGGGACAGCCTCGAGGGGGTGAGGAGAGGGGCCCAGCTCTGCAGTCCCCAGGGCAAGATCTTTCCCATCCAAGCAATAACGGGAGGAGGGGGCCAGGGCCGAGGACACTCAGGGACACTGTCGGGGCCGAGGCCCAACTCGCTAGTGTTTTCTTTAGGAAGAAAAAACAAACGGGCTGTAAGCATAAATTATATTTCTTGGATAAAGAATGTACGTTTCCCACACGCCTGTTTATTTATAAGCCTTGAGAGCACTGGGTCCCTGTGCAGTGGGAGTCCTGCTCTGTGGCAGGTCGCCCCTGGCCAATGGCTGGATTCGGCCACTCAAGGCTGGTCTCCCAGCTCGCCCCCTCCCTCAGTCTGGCTGCCAGATCTTCTCTGGCTTAATTCTCAGGGACCAGAATCTTAGTCTGTTTCTGAATCCCCTTTAAGCTGGGCTGGCCTGCTTCTGCTGTCCCCCTGCCTTCCCCCTCTCTCACTCCACTGCCCTCTTCCTCCCCCTCCCTCTCGGTGTCTTCTTTGCTCAGTTTTGGCATTAACTTTCTTCTCTCATTGAAAAAAAAAATTAAAGCTTTAAAGAAAGGAAAATTGTAAAACCTCAAGTTCGGAGGCCCTCCTCCCGTGAGAAGATCGAGACGGGCCTCAGTCACCATGGCAACAGAGGCTGATGTCATACGGGGTCAGAAAGGTCAAGCTCTGCCCAGTAGCTTGGCGGGCACCCCGGGCCCCTGGTTAAGGAGGAGGCAGGGTATGGATCTGGAACAGTCAGCTTTCGAGTGACAGGGAAGGCCCCCGAGCAGGGGAGGGGACTGCAGGTCGCCTCCTTCGGAGGGAGGAAGAGGGGTCCCAGGCTTGGCTGTGGGCCTGTGCGTCCCAGGGCTCCCCCTGTTGAGGTTCCATCAGAGCCGCTGGACCTTCCTGGGGCCTGGGAGCTTGGAGGGAAGACCCCGAGAGAACAGGTGGGGTAGGAGCTGTGAGCTGCGACTCGTATCATGGCACACAGGAAGTGCTCCTAGTCCTGGAATCAGAAGGCGAGGGTTCGGGTTAACCCGGGACTTTAGCAGGTCTGGGCCCCCCTGGGCCTCCGTGTCTCCGTGTGCAAGGTGTGGGCCTGCTGCAGCCGAGGTTCTCTGCCTGCCTTTCACACTGATCTCAGAAGGAGGAGCGCAGGCAGGCGACGTAGGTCACCCAGGCTAACTGCGGGGTGTTTGAGAGCTCAGGTTTCCTTCCTCTGCTCTGTTTCCTGCACCTCCTTGGCAGGACTCTGGGATGAGCCCCCGGCCATCCTGCTCTGGCGTCGCCAAGCCTGGCACCCTATCCACAACCTCCTGCCAGCTGAGCAGAGGCTGTCGATAGAGGCTGTTTCTCCCCGGGTAGAAGACAGGAGGTTGCCAGGGCTCGGGCCACCAGCAGGAATCAGATCCTTCTAGAAGGTTTGAGTTCAGTGAAAGAGGGTGCTGACGCCTGGCTTTACAGCACTGTTGAGGGTCCCTGTCTCCATGTGGGAATGAGGGGGACCAGAGAAAGTAGGGGGCTGTGGCCAGGCAAGGCTGGTCATCCCAGCTCCCCTCAGTGATGGAAAGAGCACTGTGTTAGGAGTCCAAGCCCTTCCCCGCCCCCTTGACCTCTGGGGAAGCAGGGAGAAGGCGAGACTTGCAGGGCTCCTTGTAACAGTGGCCACACCTGCGGTTCCCTACATGGTCCTGGGCAGTCAGAGGTGGGAGAGCTGTGGGCAGCAGGGTAGGGAAGCCCCGGAAGGGTTGCATGTATGCCAGGCAGGCAGGGGCAGAGGCCAAGGGAGTTGGTGCCAGTGGCGGAAGGAAGGCTGTGGGAACTACTGCCGAGAAAAGTGTGGTTTGGGTAAGACGCTGGCCCGCCAGCGGGTGTGAGGGCTCCTAACCCAGTGCTCTTTCCTCTTGGGTGCGAGGGCTGGCAGTGAGGTGTGCGAGGGGAGTGGCTGAGAAGCGAGCTTGCTGCTCCCGGTGGAGCCACGAGACAGCAGACCACCGGGCCAGCAGAGCTGTGGATTCAGGCCGACAGCAAGGAGGCTGGATAGCACCCTTCCCGGCGTCACTACTGCTGATCTCTGTGCCGGTCCCACCTCCCTCAGGGGCCTGGAAGCCGGGGAGGGGGGCAGCTGAGGAGGGGCGCAGGGAGCAGGGTGCTTGGCGCTGGGGCCCTACCCAGGAAGTTTCCTGCACTCGAAGCCACCGCAAGGCCTTACAGCCATCTGTCCCAAAGCTCCCCCCAAGACACCCGGGCACTCTCGTTCTGAAGATGGGCATTTATTAGCACACCCAGCCGTGCCACGCAGGACGTGGATTCAGACAGGGGTTCCTGCCCAGGGGCTCACAATCTACACGAGACAAAACACATACACGCAAGACACAGACACAGGGAGCAGGGCGTCTTCAGGGGACACAGATGGTCGGGGAGCCACGGGCTGGGGTGCACAGCACGTTTGGACGCTGTCCTGTGAGGGAGGGAGAGGGAGGCGGGACGTGACCCAGGCAGGCCTTCCAGGAAACGGGGGTATCCAGGAGGGACTTGCAGGAGAAAGAAAATTCCAGAGGGGAGAGGTGCCAGGTACAGGGAGAGGCGGGTGACTATCAGAGAGCAGGCAAGGATGCACACAGACCCAGAGAAGTGAAAGCAGAAGAAACAGGCAAAAGTCCCTAGAAGAGGCTCTGAGCCAGGGGCAGGGGAGGCCACCCCTGTGCAGCCACTGAGCTGCTGTCTCTGTGTGTTCGGGCTGAGTTCTGCGTGGTGATGTTTACAGGAAGCCCAAACAGAGCTCTGGCAAGGGGCCCCCCTGAGGCTACTTACCTGACCCCCAGGGCTCCCTCCAGTCTCTGGAACGAGGGACCCAAAGCCAAAATAAATAACCACCCAGTTGCAAGAAATTCAGGGGGCAGGGGGAGCAAGGGACAGGGTAGGCAGCTGTGAGCACGTGGCGGGAAGGGGTTGCGGGAGGCTACTTAGTGCAGCTGGAACCCAGGTACTGCAGAGCAGGAGGCGTGGCAGCCTCTTCACTCTGGAGTGGGGCGTGGCCAGCAGGTGGACGGGCCACAGCAGAGATGCGTGTTCCTCTGTGCCTGGGGCTGAAGCAGGTGTAGCACCTTCCTGCTGAGTACCCTGAGAGCTGCCAGCCTCACCTCCCCTGCCTGTGTGGGGATCGAGGGACCGCGGGAGGGCTCAGGAGGGTTATTGCTTTTCTGCGGACAGAGAGACCCAACAGTGGGAAGACAGAAACAGCTTGCCCAGGGCCAGAGGCTGGAGAAGGGAGGGACTCCCCAGGACCTCAGGATAGAGTTTAGCCATGGGCTCTTTGGAGATCGACTTTTTGAATCTTCAAAATGCAACTGCTTTCAAGCCGCAGGTCCAGCAAACAGACCCAGAGCCGACAGCCCCCTGAAGCCACAGTGCCCCAGTGGTGATGGGGGCTGGGCGGGGGAGTGGAGGGTCCCCCTGTGGTTTGTCTGACCTGCCCTGGAGCGTGGAGAGGGTCCCTGGGAAACTGAGAGGGGGTGGGGTGTGGCTGGGTGACCTCGAGGGGTAGCCCCGGGCTTTGAGGAAGCCCCTCCCAGGGCACCTTCAGGCCTGACCTGGGAGAGGGAGCTGCCCCCCTGCTTCCTGGCCAGCTGGTGGTTCGTGTCCTAGAGCTGAGGAGGAGCCGGAAGTGCAGAAAGGGCAAGATCAGCCAGGGGAGCTGAACCCCTCACTCCTCATCCCCTCGCCCCCTTGCCTGTTGGCCTGGGAGGTGAGAGGGCTGGGACCCATGCAGGAAACAGCCAAGGCCCTACTTTTTCACGATCCTTTATTAATCAGAGCAGGCCTTGCCACAAAAAGCAAGACCCATTCCCACAAAAATATGATTTTTGCAAAGAGGAGAGCTTGCTGGCTTAGAGGGTGCGTGTGGTGGCAAATTTGTATTGTTCTGTTTTTCATTTTTCCCCCTTCAGTTTTTTCTTCATTTCTCTTTGCTGCCACTTTTTTTTTTTTTTGTGATAGTGGGTTTTTATTTTATTTTGTATAAAACACTTGCGCTCAAGGACTCAAACACAATACAAACAGCGGCCACCTGTCCCAACCCCTGAGGCCCCAGCCGGACTGGGAGACCCCTTGGCTTTTTTGTGGCTGTTTTCCATTGTGCCTTCCCTGGCCTCTGGCGCCGATGGACAGGTGTCGGGGTCCAGGGGCAGGCGGAATTCGTAACAGCAGTACATGGGGGAGATGGTCACAAGACAGGTAGCAACTAAGACTGGGGAGCCCACGATGATGCCGGTGAAGCCGGGAAAGGGGCTAGGACTCTGGGAAGAGACAGGTGGGCCCTGGCAGGCATCGGCTACCCCTGGAGACTCTGTGGTGGGGGAAGGCAGGTAAGCCTCAATCTCGGCTGCCATAGTAACACCTTGCTCCCTGGTAGCACCCTCGGGGTTCCCCTGCCTTGACCCCAGGTCAGGTGGTGGTGGTCTCACAGCCTCTCTATGAGGTAGGTGAACTATTATTACCACAGTCTCACAGATGGAGAAACAGCCCCAGGGAGTGTGGCTGACTCGCCCAGGGTCCTGGGTTGGTGGCTGCACTCCGGCGCCCTCCCTCCTTTAAGTTCCCAAATTCCCCTGGACCCCTCTACCCCTCCCTCTGAGCCCCCCCCCCCGTGTCGGCCCACCCCACCCCTGACTACCACTTGCTGCCCTTCCCCCTCCTGGAGTTCATGAGGAGGCCTGCTTGAGAACAGACCCCACGGGGGCTGCTTTTTGCGCATGACTGGCTAAGAGCTCCATGGGTGGGGCCTGAGTGCTGCGGACTGGTGCTCAGTAGGAGTCAGTTGGGTTCCCAAGGGCTCCCCAGCAGGCGAGGGGTGGGGCTCGTTCAGCCTGGGCCTCTAGGGTCAGGGGCACGGAAACCGAGGCAGATCTGAGAATGGTACAGCCTCTCCTGCTCCCACACAGCCCTCTGGGGCAGACCCCACTGTCAGCAGCACTACTCTACAGAAACACGGGGTCTACACGGAATGTGGATGACGGTTTGCTTTACATCAGCGTTCTTCATTCTACACAAGTCTTCTACTAGGGGGACAGTCCTTCCGATCCCAGGGGAGGGGCGGGGGTGGGGTGCGATTCCATTTAAGACCATTTTGATAGGGACAAAAGGTGGCCTGCATGAAGCAGAACCCTTAGGTCAAAGGGAAGCCCAGTGGAAGAAGCCACTCCCCAAATGTCCATGCTTTCTACACGCTCTGGATGTGGGGACCCCGCCCAGAGTTCCCTCCCTTTCTTGGGGTGTCACCCCCACCCAGAGACCGTGGCTACAGACTGCGGAGTCCTGGCGCCACCTGGTGGTGTCTTCTGGGAATCTCGGGTCCAGGCTCCTGGACACTCCCACCCCGCCTCCCTTGCTTCCAAGGCTCTGTCACCAGCTGGGGCTTGTGTCAGCACGAGGGCCAGCGTGGGGATGGGAGGCTTAAGCAGGAGTCATCCTGAAATCTGCTGTCTCCAGGGAGTAGCCAGTTCTGGTCTCAGCAGTAGCCGAGGTGGAGACCCCACAACCAGCTTTTGCATGGAGGGCAACCTCAGAACTCGGAGAATCTGGAATTTCCCCTGCCTCCTGTGCCGGCATGGCGAGTGGGAGGGGCAGGAGGAGCAGTTCTGGAGAAAGTGAGAAGACAGTGATGGCCAAGGTCAGGCGGTGGATCAGAGACCACACATGCCAGGAGAGAGGGGATGGGCGGGGCCGAAGGTGTGTGGGGAGCAGGAGGGAGGGGTGGGGGTGTGCACGGGTGGGGGGGTGAGGCCAGGAAGCTGGAAGGCTTGGGCATTGTCAATCACTGGGTTGAGATGAGGTCTGGGGGGCAGGGGTGTCTTTGGGGCAGATTTTGGGGAGAAGCTGGCGGGGTCTGGGGGCCCCTGAGAAGGAAGGGGTTAGGTGAGTCTTGGTGCAATGCTGGGCACATGGCAGGTGCCTAAAAGGTCTGAGCCGATGTCCAAGGGACGAAATCGCTGGGGAAGGAGTTCCTGGAGGGGGCGGAGTGGGGGATGCAGGAGGCAGCCCCCTTTTCAGCTCCGCGCCAGGGTCTGACCCTCTGCCCCACCCTGCCCAGCCCACACCTGTCCCTCCTCTCCCAGCCCCTGGCGCCATGGCCGTGCCTTTTCCCAGCCTCCAGCCTTCTCCGCATCGTCCGCAGCACTGCCGGCCCCAGGGGTCAGGGAGCAAGCCGCCCCCATGCGCACAGATGCACACGCGCACACACACCCACGCACACGCACGCACACACATGGTGGACACAACAGAGGTGCACAGGGCCATGGCTCCAGGCCCCAGGAACACACTACACACTATCCTCGGAGCTCAGGGCCCAGCCGGCCTCTGAGACTGCCCTGTGGGGGCTGGGGCCAAGTGCCCCGGCCCCCCTTCTCCTGGAACTCTCTCCACTCCAGGCACTGCCTTAAAGAAAACGGGGGACCACGCCCACCTGACGGGCCTCTGGAGGGACCTGCCCGCGCGGCTCCTGAGAGCCCCCCCACTTCTTGGGTATCCGCAAATCAGGAAAGGGGCAAAGCAGGAAAATGGCTCCCAGAGCCCCTCCCCTGAGCTGGACCGGTGGGGGATGGGGCTAGTACTTCCTAGAAATGGGGCCCCATTGAGTCCCGGGGCCCCTCCCTGGCTGAGCCCTCAGGGTCCTCCCCTCACCCATGACGGGGGATGGCCAGGCCGGGCATTGTGCATAAAGTGGTGAGGGCACGATGGGGCCCCGGGCCTCAGCCCCCTGGGCCTCCCTCGGCCCCACTCAGGCCTTCAGCTGGTGCCACTGGGCCACGGGCTGGCGGGGACGGGCGATCATGTCCTTCCAGTGTTTCACCTCCCCTGGCCCGCTCTTCCAGGACAGGTAGATCTGAGGAGAAAAAGGGTGGCGTTAGCAAGGTCTCTGGGCATAGCCTCCTGCCCCCACTAGGGGGCGACACCACAACAACACCTGTGATCACCAGCACCTGGGCTCCTCTGCCCCTAGTGGTGCCTACCCCTCAGAGGCCCCCTCTTCCCTTCCCTCTGCCTCACCTATGTTCCTGAGACCTCTCGGGAGCCTGCTCACCCGTTTCACAGTGGGGGTGCAGGCAGTTCGCTCCCAGGTCCTCCCCTGCCCTACCTGCTGGGCACTGTCCAGCTCAGCTTAACTAGAGCTGATCCGCCCATCGTGGGCACTTGCTGCATGCCAGGCACTGAGCAGGGGGCTCATACACACAGATCCCCGAATCCTTAGGACTGCGGGGTGGGTCTGTTACCGTCCCCACTTTTCAGATGCAAAAGCAGAGTTTGTAAGTGGTGCAGAGGGCTTTGGAGTCAGGCCTTCGGGGCTCTGGACTGCCCGCCTGCCCGCCTGCCCCTGCCAGGTCCCTGCGTAAGCAGCTTTCCTGCCTCAGGGGGCTGCATGCAGGGATCCTCCTGCTACCCGGGGACCAGAGGGTGGTAGGAGTACAGGCACTGGGGCGGGGGGAGATGCACAGACTGGGCGGTGTTCTGTAGGATGCCCAGAGATGGTGGAGAGAGGGGAGAGACCCAAGTGTCCCCAACCAGGGGAGACTGGGGGACAGGACAGCTTAGTTCAAGGTGAGCCCTGATTGGACCTGGAACAGAGAGAGGGCATTCATGGACACTGGGGAAGCACAAATGAAGCCGGGAGTTTAGTTCACAGTCAGGCACCTGCTGCTTCCGTAGGCAGACGACTGGGGCAACTGGGCGAGAGGGATACGCAAACCCTGTTACCTTTGCTACTTTTCTGCTAATCTGAAATTGCTGCACAATGACAAGCATAGATATATAGATAGAAAGTGGGAGCGAACCCCAGCTCTGCCACGTGTGAGTGGGGTGACCTCTCTCGGCCTCAGGCTGTCTTCTGGGGAATGGGTGGGTGGTGGTGCCCACCTTACAGACAGTGACAACAGTGCCTGTCTCACGCCCCACCTGGCGTGGGGGCAAGGCCTCTCTCTCAGTGGGCTCCATCCCTCCAAAGCTGGTCATGGAGCCTGAGGGCCACTGTGTGACACCTCACAGTCACACCTTCTGCCTGCAAGACAGCCCCAGCCTTGAGCAATGCCAAGAAGACAGGAGGGGTGAATTCCAGGCTTCAAGGGGCTGAGTCAGGTGGCTCAGAGATCCTTGGGCTTCCCAGACTGCCCAGGCTGAAGCTAGGACAAGTCTGTCTTCACTTGGTTCAGCTAACAGAAGATGCTATGACTGTAATAGGAAAATGCCCAACTCCCAAAGGCTAAGCTTCAAAAGAACCTCAAAAGAGATGTGACTGCTTAAGCTTTGGCCCCTTCCCTGTGGGTGCCTGGGTCATCCCTTCCTGGGTCACATGCTGACCTGTGGTCTCTCCTCACTTGCCCCTGGCATCTATCTCTTGCCACTGCCTGCCTTGACCACTGTACCTTGCACTGCTCCCAGTCAAACAGGACCTTGGAGAGAACACTTCAGAAGAACTCACTATAATAGTAGCTAACATATATGCTCCAAGTACTAGGCTGAGCTGCTCATGCACGCTATATTTTTACTTAATCCTCCCAGCACGCTGTGCGACTAGGACTGACTGAGAGGAGGAAATGAGACTCAGTGAGGTTATAGCTGTTAAAGGATGGGGCTGAGACCCAGACCCAGGCAGTCTGACTTCTTGACCTCAGCCCCCAAACAAGCACGAGAACAGACACTTCCAAAGTAGGAAAATTGGAAGCATGCGTGTCACACAATCCCATCCTGGAGACACTCGGGACCGAGTGGATTTGCAGGTTAATGTGCGATCAGAAGTGGTCACTTTCGAAAGGGGACCCTCCACGTTTCTCAGGTAATTCGTTCACTGCCCTGTGAAGTTCTCAGGGTTGGCATCAGTAGCTCCATCTCACAAGGAGCTAAGAGGGGCCAGTGATGTGCTCAAGGTCACACAGCCAATGAGGCAGGAACCAAAGCCAGGACTAGGGAGCCTGACCACAGCTCTTGACACTGCCCCAGCCAGCTCGCCCTCTGCAGTCACTTTGCTGTCCTACTTGCTTCTTTCTCTACCCTTCTGGTGATGTGCCTGAGCTGACTGACACGTAGCAGGGACGGGCGGGAGAGGGGAGACCCCATCTCCCCTGTCACCCAGACCTGTGCTTGCCACTCTCCCTGCCGCGCCCGCCCCACCCTACCTTGCCGATGACGTCATTGCGGCTGAGCTTGTCCTTGTCCATCACGGTAATGATGATGGTGGTCTCTCTGAGCTTCTCCGTGGGGATGTCGAAGGCGAAGGACTCGTTGAAGATGGGGTTCAGGTTCCTCTTCATGGTCACCGTCTTCTTTTTCTCCACCCGCTTGTCTTTGTACATCAGCCACACCTTCACGTAGGGGTCTGAGGTGGGGGTAGGGGAAGGGTTAGGCTGAGGCAGGAGGGGCTGTGTGCTTTCCTCAGAGTGGGAGGAAAGACTCAAGCAAGAACCAGAGTTGGGGGATAAATTGCTGGACCTCAGCTCCCTCCCCAAACCCCCCTTCCCTGTTAATACCAACAAGGACCCTGATCCTGGAGAGGCCAGATCTTGCCCAAGGTCACAGCCTGGCAGTGCTGGAGCCATGGCTTGAATCCCTTTCTTCCTGGCTCTGGGAGGACAGAGTCCCGACGATGGTGACCCTGGGGATGCCCCTGAGCTCTCCAAGAGAGAGGAGTGGGGGTCAGAGGTGGGGATGAGGGGGGGCCCAGGGCGAAGGCCACTGCACAGTCCCTGCTGTCCACGCCCATCGTGGGTCCTGCAACACCAGACCCCACCCCCAGCCTGCCCAGATGCCGTCACCAGGAGCCCCCGCACCTGATGTGCCCCCAATGTCCATGGCTTTGAGGTTCCGGGCTTTGATGATATTCACGATGATGGAGTTGGCAGAGGGGTTGTAGCAGAGAGACAAGAGCAGCTCCCCTCGGCTCCCCTGGGAGGGAGAATGGGCAGGGTGAGGCAGGGCCAAGGGGACTAGGCAGGGGGTGGGGCTGCTTCCCGGGGAGGGATGACAGGTGGGATGTGGGCACCAGCGGGGAGTGAATGGTTCACGAGCTCTCGGGCTGGCCCAGATCCCACTAGGACTTCTGACCTGTGGCTTGTCTCCCCTCACCTGGCAGGTCTGTGCGCCCCCTCCCCTCCCAGGGCACAGGCAAGCCCTGCCAAGGGCCAAGCACAGTGCTCAGATTCTGCAGGAAGTGGGCTCCGCCAGGCCCCGCCCACCTGCACAACTCCCCTAAAGCAGAGGAGGGCCTGGGAGCACACTGGCCAGCCCAGTGCCCCAGCCCCCTCCAGCCGCTGACCCGCAGGTAGGGCCTTACGCTCCCATCGCTGCATGGCTTCAGATCCTTCCAGAAGGTCTGCATCTGGGTCAGGTCCACCTTGTTGAGGGGGATGGACACCTCCCCAATGGGGTCATTGCGGCTGAAGCGGTCATAGTCCAGGACCTGGAGGTAGAGGACTCTCTGCACCACCTTCTCGTAGGGAAAACCTGGGGGGCAGAGAAGCACAGGTGACGAGCAGGACAGAGGGTCACAGGCGGCCAGCCCGAACACCCTCCTCTGCTGCCCCGCCCAGGCCAGCAGGTAGCCGACTGCGATCAGACCCTCACTGACTCACGGATCCCCTCAGCAATTCTCCGAGGGGCCTGTGTCTTGTCCATTTTACAGATGGGGAAAACTGAGGCTCGGGTGGGTTAAATTCCTTGTCCAGAGTCCCAGGACTCATGAAACACAGAGCTGGGACCGTCCCCGACTCGTGCACCCATCAGGTGTCCCTGTCAGTGGCTGGACACTGACCTCTTGCACTCTGGGCTGTCCCTGCCAACTGTCCTGAGGAACAGCCGAGGAACGAGCCCCAGAGGGATGCGGGCCAGGGGACACCGGGGAAGCATGGAGCAAGGATGACAGCAAAAGCACGGGAATACGAGTGGACGCGTGTCCACGGACCCCGCCTTCCTCCTCCCAGCTCAGCCAGCTGTCCCCCTCTCCACTGCCACCTCCCTCACCCAGACGGCTGTGAGGGCCTCCGGCCTGCCCTCCCCCACTCGCACGCTGGCTCCTACGGCCCATTCTCAACACAGCAGCCAGAGTGATCTTTTAAAAATAGAAAGCGCATCGGGATGCTCTCCTGCTTTAGGCTTTCAACGCACTTAGAAGAAAAGCCAGCCGTGCCGCCTTGGCTTTGAGGCCGTCCACAACTTGGCTGCCCTCCCGCTGCACACCACTCGGTGCCCGGGCCTCCTTCCCAGCCTGGGCCGGCCCCCGCCGTGCCCGCTCTGGGCCTCAGCTCTCTTTCCTAGCAGCCCAGGGAGGTCAGATGCCCTGCTCCACACCCCAGCATCTTCTCTTGCGCAACGCGAATTGCGAGCCGTAATGGAGATTTATCTGTCTGTTTCCTTCATTATGTCTGACTTTCCCACCAGACGAGGATTTCCAGGAAGGCCTCTGTGTTATCAGCGCCGGACTGCGGTGTCCAGCGCTGTTCCTGGCACACAGTAGGCACTGCATGAATATCTGTCAAGGGAATAACTCATGGGATGAGTAGCTGCCGGGACAGGGGCGGGCGGAGAGGGCCAGCTGAGTTTGGAGGCGGCGGCGGCGGGGAGGGAGGATTGGAGGTGGATGGAGAAGGTGACCTGGAGGCAGGGCAAGCTCTGAGGTCAGGTGTCACCTGCCCTGGGTGGTGGTGGGGGGCTGCTCGGGCCAGGCAAGGTGGCCCAGGCAGCCTGGAGGCCCAAGGGGACACGAGTGTGAGTTTGAAGGAGACAGAAGACACTTAATATCTCAGCCTGGCTCTAGAGACAGAGAAAGGCCAGGGAGGCTGGGAGCTCAGAGAGCCTCTGACAGGAGCCAGTGAGCTGGAAGACAAAATCCTCTTTGTGTGTCCGGGGTTCTGTCCCTCGTATTGAGAGTGGCTTGTGTCATGTTCCTCTCACTGTCCCTGGGGACGTCAGGTGAAAAGCCTAAGGCTCCAGGAGCCCCTGCACCTGTCAGCTCTCCTATCTAGCAAACTCCTACCCGTCCATCAGAACCTGCCTTTTTTAAAAGATTTATTTTATTTTATTTGAAAGGCAGAGTTATAGCGAGAGAGAGGGAGATACATACACACACACACACACACACACGCACACAGAGAGAGAGAGAGAGAGAGCGCCTCCATCCACTGTTCCACTCCCTAAATGGCTGCAATGACCGGAGCTGGGCCAGGCCGAAGCCAAGGAGCCCAGAACTCCATCTGGGTCTCCCACACCGGTGCAGGGGGCCCAAGCACCCAGGCCATTCTCTGCTGCCCTCCCAAGCACACCAGAAGGGAACTGGACCAGCGTTGGGCAGCCAGGCCTCGAACTGGTGCCCACGTGGGATGCCAGTACTGCAGGCAGCGGCTCAACCCACTATGCTACAACACCGGCCCCGCCCACAGGATGCATCTTGAGGGGCCTCTCTTCTGGGGCAAATTTCTGCAGCACCCCCACAGGAGGTCATACTGGGCTCCTGTGGCGCAGTCAAGCTGGGCGCAGCTCACTGATCTACGCTTCCATTAGACAGGAATGTCTTGAGCATTCTTCGTGCACTCCCAGTACTCAGGAGCGTGCCAAGCCCATAGCTGCTGCTGGGTAGATGCTCGTAGAAGCCACTGGGGCACCGGGGCTCTGCCTGAGCACTTGACCCTGCTAGCTGTCTGCATAAACCTCCAGACAGCCACCTCTCTAAGTGAGTGCCCATGCTGACCTGGGCACGAGGGGCAGCTGATGCTCACCCTCAACGACTCACTGAGTGGGCGAGCTGTCCGGCCCTTTGCAGATTGGGTTAGGGTGGTGGGCAGGTGGGACACCAGATGCAGAGGAGTCCCTAGCATGTGCACAGACAGTTCTAGAAACCCAGGGCTGGGTTGTGGAGCAGTGGGTTAAGCTGCCGCCTGTGACACCGGCATCCCATGTGAGCGTTGGCTGGAGTCCTGGCTGCCCCACTTCTGATCCAGCTCCCTGCTAATGTGCCTGGGAAAAGCAGTGGGCAATGACCCAAGTGCTTGAGCCCCTGCCACCCAAGTGGGAGACCCGGATGGAGTCCAGGCTCCTGGCTTTAGCCTGGCTACACTGGCTGTTGAGGGCACTTGGGGAGTGAACCAGCAGATGGAAGCTCTCTCTCTGTTTCTTGCTGTCTCTCTAACTCTGCTTTTCAAAATAAAAATGTAAATCTTTAAAAAAAACATTCTAGAAATCCAAGACACCTGGCAGCTGGGATTGTAGGGCATGCAGGCTGCTGGGGGAGGGTTATGGCTTCTCTAAGTGGGATCCTGGCACCCAAGGGCCCTGATTGCAGGTCCAGCTTCCTGGTTACCTGGAACCCTCAGAGCTAAGGGTTAAAGACAGGCCTTGCAGGCGAGAGGAAGGACGTCTTCCCAGTGGCCTCTAGGACTGGGGGGATGCTGTTCAGGGCTGATGCTCCCAGCCCGGCTGGTGCACAGCCCAGCAGCAGTCATTTTCTGGGTGTCAGGCACTGTTCCAAGCGCTCTCACAAGTTACTCCTTTGCTGAGGCCTCATCATTACTAGCTCTATTTCACATTTGACAAGTGGGGACACCAAGGCACAGATAGGTTCAGGAACTTGCCCAAGATCACACAGCTACCAAGTGGCACAGCGGAAGCTCAAACCCAGGCAGCCTGGGCTACAGTCTGTCTCCGAACCCTGCGGCTGCCTCCCTCCCTCCCTTCCTTGTGTGTGGGCTGAGACGCAGCTTTCCTCACAGTCTCCAGCTGTGATACGTGGCACCTGTGACCCGACCCCGGCTACACACCAAATGCATCAGGGTAACAGCCTGCTACTGTGGGAGTGTGCACGTGCACACATGCAGGTGTGTCTGTGCGTTTGTGTGCCCACAGGTGTGTCTGCAATGCGTTTGCAGGTGTGTGGTTGGGTGCGGGTCCGGCGGAAGGCAAGAAGTGACTGCGGGTGGCGAGGGCGGTGCCAGGCTCACCTTCAAAGAGAAAGGTCTCGTTCCAGTGGGGGTTCAGGTTCTTCCGTTTCACCTTGGTCTCCAGCTTGTGCTTCTTGTCTGGCAGCAGGTAGATCTTGACAAAGGGGTCACTGGTGCCACTGAAGTCCTTGGCTGGCAGCTCCTGGGCTTTCATGATCTTCACGGTGAGCGTGGACTCCTGGAAGTTGTAGCCGACGCTGAACTGGATCCGGCCCAGGTTCTCTCGGCTGCAGCCCTCGTGGGCCTCGTCCTCCTCGGAGCCTGGGGAGAGCTGGGGGGCGGGGAGAGGCCAGCAGAATTGGGGGGGTGGGGAGGGACTCTGTCCCCTCCCCTCTCCACCCCCAGCAGCCCAGTACAGGAGGTCAGTCCAGCTGCTCTGCCTGTAGCTGCAACGTGGGACTGCTGGCTGGCCCACATCCGCATCTGTGGAGAGTGCTGAGCCCGGGAGGGCAGGTGCCTTGACCAGAGCCCAACAGGGAGAGAGGCAGGGCTGGGACACGACACCCGGGCCCCAGTCTCTCCAGGTCTGCCTCCTTTCCCAAGCTCTACAGTTTTCCCAGATCGCAGCAGCCAGCCGCACTCCAGGGCTCCTTCTGCAGCCCTGTGGGGGCCTCTGTGAAACACTGCACCCCAAGCCTGGGTTACGAAACAGAGGTGGGCACTGTTCACCTCTCAAGACTCCATGCCACTGTTTCTCTAGCCAGGGACTCTGGGGGTGCCGGGATGATGCCTTTACAAAAGGAGAAAGGCAAGCTCTCAGGAACAGCACTGCTTGGCACGATGCAGCCCGTGGGGATTACAAATACCGATTCCCCGGCCCCTGTGCCCTGCTGGGTCAGGCTGGGGTGGGCCTGGGCATCAGCATTGTCTACAAGGTGCCTCACAGGGCTGGTGGGTAAAGCTATTTGTGAGCTGGCATCTCATGGGAGGGCCAGACCAAGTCCCAGCTGCTCCACTCTCTGCTAATCCACCTGGGAAGCAGCAGATAATGGCTCAAATACCTGGGCCCCTGCCTTCCCTGTGGGAGATCAGGATGGAGTTCCAGGTTCTGGCTTTGGCCTGACCCAGCCTTGACATTGCAACCATTTGAGGAGTGAACCAGCAGATGGAAAATCTCTCTCTCCCTCTCTATGTAACTCTACCTTTCAACTAACTAAATAACTAAAGCATTTTTTTTTAAAGATTTATTTGTTTATTTGAAAGTCAGCATTACAGAGAGAGAGGGCCTCCATTTCCTGGTTCACTCTCCGAGAAGCTGCAGCAGCCAAGGCTGAGCCAGGCGCTCCATCTGGGTCTCCCACGGGGATGACAGGGACCCAAATACATGAGCCATCCTCCTCTGCTTTCTATGGCCATTAGCAGGGAGCTGGACTGAAGTGGAGCAGTTAGGACATGAACCACAGCACCCATATGGATGCTGGCATCATAGGCGGCGTCTTTACCTAATACGCCACAACACCGACCTCTAAATAAATCTTTAAAAATAAATAAATAAAATGTGGCTCAGCTGACTGCACTGCACGTTCAGGGCTGGGGATGCTGGAAGGAAGGGCTACACCTGTGCCCCCTCCCCATCACCCAGGCCGGGCACTTGGCTCGGCCTGAACAGCGGAGTCTGGTAGGGGGGGATCCTGCTCCCATCCTGACAACCAGGAGGAGGAGGTGCTGTGCGGGTGGGGGCGGAATCTCCTGGCCAATTGTCTGAACCCCTGGCTGCTGTCTGGGAGTTCCAGGAAGCTTGAGAACTGTACCCATTCTGCAGCTGCCTGGGCTCAGACCCGGACCCCACCCTGCTACAGATCCACCGTTAGGGGGCGGGTGTCCTTGTGGCCCGGGCATCCCTGTGTCTAAAAGCCCCGCCAGTGATTGGATGAGAGCCAAGCGCGGTGGAGACCCCTCCAGGCTGGGAGCAAGCCCAGCTGCTGAGCACTGCAGCATCCAGGAGTGACGCAGTAGATGGGGCAGAAGATCCTCACAGCACCTTCCACCGGGGCATGACGACAGCTCACCAGGCGACCGTCGCCACCCTCCAGCCCAGGAGACCGGCACAGCAGTTAGACCCTCTCTGACCGGAAGGCTGGCTCTTCCCACCAGAGCAGGCCTACACCCCCAGGGCAATGGGGAGATCCCACCCCCTCCCAAACCAGCCTCTGGATCACACCAATCAGAGTAACGGCCCCGTACTGGCTGGGCCTGCTGTGCCCAGGCCCCGCCCTGCCAGATTTGCCCTCTTTTACGCCGACTGTGTCCTCGTGAGGCAGGTGCCACCATGTTCCAGTTTCAGCCTGGAGCAGCAGAGGCTGGGGCACTGACCTCAGGCCAGCAGGAGAGCTGGAGCTCGAACCCAAGCTGGCGCCGAGCCATCGTGTGTGCCCTTCCACCTGCCCCTCACTCGCAACGAAGGGCCTGCATCTGAGGCCTTACCCTCGGTCACTGCTCTTACGGAGGGAGCGGGACCCTCCAGTCCCCACCCCTTGGCTGATTTGAACTGTCCCCCAGGCTGTATCTCAGGCCCCCGGAGTAGGGAGGCCTCCCTGCCCCAAGTCTGCTTCTCCCACCCATTCCCTTCGAACCTCAGCATCCACTTCTGCAGAATGGCAACCACCAGGCCTTGTGTGTAGGGTTCCTGAAGGGTGAAGTGGGCCAGCGTCCCTGCCATAGTCCTGCTCTGCTGCCAGGGCAGGCCATGAGGCAATGCCAACAAAGGACCCCTGCCCCTTCCTTCTCAGGTTGGGTCGAGTCCTTGGGGACCACAGCCTGCGTGGGTCGCTTGGCTCCCCATCAGGGGGAGGCCTGGGCTGGCCACACTGGCCTCCCAGTGGAAGGGGCAGCGACTCCTTGCCCACTCCCAGCCCTCCCATGCCACACGCCTGAGCTCTAACCACCCAACCACCCCCATGACAATGCCAGGGGAGGCGTGGCCTGAGACCCTGCCCCCCACCCCCCCGAAGAAGTAAGCCCCTAACAGCACCAAGCCAGCCCCGTCCCGGCTACCCTTCCCCTACCCCTTCTCTGGCCAGGCCAGAATCCCCACTCCTGGCTCCTGACCCCCAGCTTCTACAGCCCTGCCCTGCTTCTCTCTGCCACCTTGGTCAATGCCAGTGATCCGGCTTGGGCATAGGCTGGGCAATTCTACTCTGCCTTCCCCCCTCTGGACATCTGATGAGCACAAGAGGGAGACGGGGCGTGCACTTCCTTCCTCTGGCCGTGGCTGTCAGAGGGCAGCAAGGGGCAGGCAAGCTGGCTGGGAAAGGCTGTCCCTTCTGGGAACCTGGCTACTGGGAAGCCATAACTCATTAAGGGACTGTGGCGATGGCTGTGCAGGCAAAGGGTGGCCAGAGCCAGTCGAGGAGAGGGGGGATGAAAGAAAGCAGGGCCAGACACATGATGATCTGGGAGGCGAGAAGGGGCGAGGTGGGGCGCCCCAAGGCCACCAGGTCTGGAGTGGGGGACAGCTGCTGCTCTCATCTGGGTGCAAGAGCACTGCAGCCTCCCAGGCCCCGCAAGGCCTGCTAACTGGGAATCTGCATTCTATCAAGATGTCCTCGTGCGCACATAGCTTGAGGATGACCAGGCGTGGAAAGGGCAGAGTGCAGGGAGGGGTGGTTAGGGCGACATGGCCCTCAAAGGGAGAAGGGTGGGTCCTGGAGGCTCTGGAGGCCTCCAAGGGCTGGGGGCTGTGATGCTAAGGCGGTGGGCGAGGGAACACTGAATTGAATGATTTCAGGACTGGCAAGGGCCAGAGGAGGCCCTACCCAATCCTCCTTGCTCCACAGGAGGGAGGGGGATGGAGGAAATGACTGTTCCAGGTCACATCCACTAGGAACAGAGCAGGTGCCGGGCAGCCAACCTCAGGCCCTCCCCCAGCCTCTCTGGACTGCGGGGGCTGCCCGTCAGCCCTCCCGCTGACTCCTGCTTCCACTGGGGCTCTTCCCAAGGTGCAGGTGGGGCAAGCAGCCATGACACACTATGGCCACCAGGGGGCGCCAAGTGACCCATGGGTCTCTGCCCTCTTGTTCTGCCTGGGACTCCCAGCATCAGGGTTTGGGGGAGGTTGCTGGTGTGGGTATGAGACTGAACTCCACAAGAGAAGGTCCTCTGCCCACCAGACTTCCCCTTCTAGGATCATACAGATCCCGTGCAGGGGTGGGTTTTCAATCCAGATGGGATCTAGTTTGGCCTAGTAGCGAGGCCGTCACTTGGGACACCTGCATCCCCTATCGAAGTGCCTGTGTTTGATTCCCAGCTCCACTCCTGGGAGGCATCAGATAATGGCTCAAGTACTTGGGTCCCTGTCACCCACAAGGGAGACTTGGATTGAAATCCTGGCTCCTGGCTCCAGCCCGGCCCAGCCCCAGTGGTTGAGAACATCTGGGGAGTGAACCAGTGGATGGGCGCTTGCTCATTCTCTCTCTCAAAAAATAAAAAGATGAGCATTCTTATTCTCACTGGACAGATGGGGAAATGGAGGCACACAGAAGCTGTGTAGGCGAGAGAGCTGGAAAAACCCAGGCCTTGCACCCCTACTCACCAAGCACCAAGGTGCCAGAGCGGACCACTCCCGAGCCATTACTGGGAGCCATGTCTGCCCCTCCCCTCCCCCGGGCCCCTCCCCCACGTCTCACCATGAGCATCTCGCTGGTGAGGGAGTTGACGAGGTCGGAGACGGAGGAGCGGGGCTCAGTCCGGCGGTCAGACTCATCGTGGGGCGTCTGGCCCGGCACTGGGGCTGTGGTCACTGCCTTCCCGCCTGCAGGCAACCTGGGGAGGGGGGTGTGGGGGTATTTCAATGAGCGAGGGCTGCAGGCGGGCTGGGCCGGGCACCACAGGCCTGGGTGGTGGCAGGGCCTTCTCTGAGGGCTGCAGTCTGGCAAGGGTGCTGCTCTGGTCCATGGGGAGGCCTGGTTCCCCCAGACCAGTGCTCAGGGCCCACCCTCCTGGCAGTCTGTGCCCCAGGTGACTTACAGCTTTGTGGGCAGCTTTGGGGGAGTGCTCCCCCTCTTCCTGTCCCCGAGCAAAGCCCCCAGGCTCCGGTCATTGGTTTGCATGGCTGGTCTCTGAGCTCATTCCCTGGCCCTCCCCCTCCCCTCTCCACACTTCCTGCCCCCTGCATCCTGCCTGCTCCCCGCCTGGGAGGGGAGGCGCCGGGTGCCGGGTGGTGTGTCCAGGTGCCTTCCGGCGTCATCACCATCTGCAAACATGCCCAGAGTGTCTGTCTCTTGGAGCCCCACCTGTGTTTGCTCAGGCTTAGTGGGAGCACCCTTTAGACAGGAGACGCAGGGGAAGTCGGGACCACTGCCCGCACAGCTCTGTGTCAGGCAGCACATTTGACCGTGACGAGCGTTCGGTATGCGCACTGCCCAGTGCAGTAGCCAGCAGCCACCTGCGGCCACTGAACATTTGCACGGTGGCCAGTTCAACCCGGAACTGGTTTTAAATTTTATTCAGTGTAAACTAACTCAGGTTTAACAGCCAAATACTGGATAGGGCAAACCTATACCCTTCCCAGTCCTGGTGTTCCCTGCTCCCACCCTGAGGAATGCCCGTTTGACACAACTGCTACCCAAGGCACCTCCAAGCAGCCCTGTCTTGCTCCCAACTCCATGCTGTCCCCAGGAAGCTAGGCTCTCTGGCCCAGGGGCTAGGTGCTGAGCCCAGGCTCTGCTGGGCTGGGGCTCAGGAAGGGGGTACTAAAGCCTGCCCAGGGACCAAGCTGGAACGTCCCATGAGGAGTGGGGTGGGGGGAGGCAGCGAGGAGACAAGGGGCTGGCAGCATGAGGCTTGGGACAAGGCTAAAACAGAACAGCTTTGAGAGCACAGAGCACTGACTTGGAGCCACATAGGCTGGACAGAAGCCATGGCCCTCTGGTACAGACCAGCCGCCAGCACACGGGCGGCCACCCCAGGCAGAGAGACATGCACTGAGTATGCCAGGCCCTGGAGGGGAGACACCAGGATCTAACAGCAGGATGTGCACACACAGACACACACACACAGGCATGCGTGCACGCACACAAATGCACAGGAGCCCGTCAGGAACAGGGAGAGAACAGCACAGGCAACAGGCAGGTTAACCCGAGCAGCCCTGGTGTCCCACATACAGCCATCCCGAGAGGAGAGACATTCCCGGGGACCCAGGCATGCCAGGGAGAGCATGTGAATTGGGACAAACTGAAATAGAAAAAAGCAGGGAGTCGTTTTTTTTTTTTTTTTTGGGGGGGGGGGGCAAATACCCTGATGATCAGACACAATACACCTGCTGTGAAAACCTGGCCGAGCCTCAACAACACAGAAACGCCCCACCCTGCCTGGCAACAGGCCGGGCGCCCCTTCCAGAGGTGCGGACAGAGCAGCGCACACACAGGTGGGCGCACACGCGGCCACGCACACACGGACACGTGCTCACGCAGACAGGCACGGGGAGGAAGAGGAGACTGAAATAGCTGGAGAGGTAAAGTCAGGTTAAAAATAGAGCAGGAGAGGCGGAGAGAGCGGGAGATTGACTGCTGAAGGTATGAGAAAGTCGGAGTTATTCTGGCCACGCCCCCGTCAGCACAGCACCACCGAGGCTGTCGGGGGTCGCAGGACAGAGACAGAGAGACGGGAGGCAAAGGGAGAGGCAGAGGGAGAGAGAGAGAGGGGCCGCGGGGCCCGGCGCCAGCCCAGGGACATCCCTGTGAGGAGCGGATGGGAGGAAGGAGGCAGAGAGAGACGAGAAAGAGGAGGCCAAGAAAAGTTAGTCAGAGCCGTGTGGAGAGGCTGCTGCGTGGACAAGGGGACAGGGAGGAGCAAGGCGGCCGACAGGAGGCAGAGAGGAGGCGGGGGACACACACGGGCAGAAGGAATATGGCGGCTTCAGGGAGAAGAGCAATGGGGGTGGTCCCTGCCCCGCCCCCCACTCGGGGTGGGGGTGGGGCCACGGTGGAAACCATTTGGATCTGGGGAGCGAGGATGACGCAGGGGTAGATGAGGTGGGGGGTGTGATGGCTGAGGGTGGAATGGTCACAGCAGGGCGTGGGAGCCACTGGGGACTGGGCCTTCCCTGCCCCCTGCCCTAGGCCCGAGAGCGTTCTGAGCCTCTGTGTTGGGGAATCCTGGATGGAGGCTCAGTGCCCCTCTCCGTTTTTCGTGTTGGACCCACTCCCACCTAGCCTGGGATCTGGAGGGGCTCCTCCCCCACAAAGCCCTGTCCCCATCAGCCTGTTGCTCATGGACAAAGGCAGGCACAAGGGGTCAGCGGGGGCACAGGACACACACTGGGTCTGGAGGGGGAAGCTGCAGAGCAAGGAATGGCTGACCCAAGCCCATCTCTCCAAGGCCTGAAGATCCAGGAGCTCCGAGGGGTGGGGCCAATGCCAACCTTTGGTGGTGGCGGCAGGGGGGGTGGCAGAGGCTGCTGGGCAGGTAGCACCTGATTCTGGAGCCCACCTGGGAGACACCCGCCTCCCCATGGCCATGAGGCATGAGTGTCCAGGACGAGTGGGCATGAGCAGGTGGGAATGGCGTGTGTCCACTGGGAAAGTCAGGCCGGGTGGGGGCGGCGGCCCAGGGCCTCCACGCCCACCCCCCACCTTTCCCAGGCAGGTGGGGACAAGCTGATGCCGTGATCAGAAGGGATGAGTTTGGTTAAAATATGGAGCGAGACCTAGGTGGCAAGGCGGTAAAAATAGGCTGTGGATGAGAATGGAGCGGTTAATTAACACATGGGTGATGGGAAATCTCGTTTCCAGTCTGCATCTGCTCCCTCACACTTCACACCTTTCCCCCGGCAAGGGGCTCAGGTTCTTAGCAGGCTTTCCGAGCCCCCACCCCCCACCCCCCACCTCCCAGCCCCTGCATGCTCTGGCCTGCAGCCCAGTTTGCAGCCCCACCCAGGAAGCCGAGGCTCCAGACACGGAGCCGGCGCCTGACACCACCTGTGCCCTCGGGTGACAGAATGAGTCCCATCTCCCCACCCGTGGCCCGCCGACTTCCTGCTTTGCCCACCACAGACATGCAGCTGCGGCCTAGGGATGGGGAGGAAGTGAGGGCTGATCTGTGGAAGCCACCGCTGGAGGGGCAGGCGAGCCCGCCATCCTAGCCGGACGGTATCCACCTTCCCTATCCACACACACCTCCCACCCAGGACAGCTCTTCCTGCCCCCGAGGGCCCCATAGGAGCGTCAGGGTCACCCATCCAAACACAGCCCATGCCCGGCTCACAGGATCTGACGAGCGGCCCAGCCCCAGGCCCGATCTCCTTATTAGATGCTTAGTGGATCTGTGCCAGAGGGCTGCTCCTTACAGGTCACCTTGTCCCATCATTCACGGGACAGATGAGGAGGCAGAGGCCCAGAGAGGGGCAGCGGCACCCAGGGCTGCAGAGGGGGCTCAGGCAGAACCAGGGAGGGACAGCAAGGGTCATGGCTGCCAGGCCACACACTTTCCTGCAGGCTCTTGGTCTGATGCGAAGCAGACCCGGCCAGGATGACGAACCCTCCTGGCACCTCTGGTCGACCCAGCCTAGGGCCAGGTTGGGGGAGGTGGGCAGACCAGGTACAGCATGGCACCCTGGAGTTCTGGGCCCTCCCAACCCATGCCTTTCCCCACTTGCAGTGCCGCCCCTCCCGGATTTAGGGAGCTGTTCCCTGAATTCCCCGTGGCCGAGGCTGGGGAGGATTTAATGTCCAGGCCTCTGCTCAGCCTGGCCACCCAGCTGTTCTCAGTCTCCCCAGGGCCCTGAGTGCCAGCACAGGGGCGGGAGCCTGACAGAGCCAGGCCTCACTCTCCCCCATCAGCTGTCTTAGCTGTCCTTAGGCTGGTGCCAGGCCCAGGCCCTGCCCTTCTGGTTCCTTCTGGCCACCAGGCCTCTCCCATGCCAGACCCTATCCCATCCCCACCAGGGGCTCCTCTTCCAGCAGCTGAGCACCCACAGGTCCTCCAGGCAAGAGGAGGGTTGAGATGGGGGGATGAGGGAGAGGAGGCTGGCGCCTTCCCTGACATCCCCCCGCCCACCAGCCACCAGAGAAACAGGGATTTCTGGGTCGGGGTTGGGGTCAGAGATGAAAGATGGAGGGGTCAGCAGAGGGAGCCAAGCAGGGAGATGGGGCAGAGGAGACTGGGCTTGCTCCAGCCAGGGCAAGCATGCCAGGGAGCAGGCTTGATCCAGAATGGTCCCAGGATGGTCCCCTTCACAGACCCATTGACGCCACCGAGGTGGCTGTGTTGGGAGGTCACCGGCTGGGGAAGGGGCTCATCCTCCCACTCCGGCATCCACTGAAGGCCCCACCGACCGCCTCGTCCAGCAGTTGGGGCCGGTTGAGGCGGGCGGCCTCTCCACGCCTCCTTCTGTGCCGCCGCTGTCGCCGCCGCCGCTGCAGGCCCTCGCCTGTGCTCCTACCTCTTGTCCCCCTGAGCGTTCTGGTTCTGCTGGGTTCCTGGGTTTTGCAGGTCAGGGATATTGGCAAAGTCATCCTGCTCCGAAAGCCCTAAGACCAAGGATAGCACCACCATCCGGCCTTCCCTGCCCAGGGTGGGCAGCCCGCCAGCCGGAGGGAGGGGGGGAAACGAGGAGGCCCCATGGGTGGGGCGGGGTGGGGGGGGGAGAGAGACAGAAACAGAGACAGAGACAAAAAGAGAGAGAAGAAAAAAGCGTAAGAAACAGGCCCTGTAGGAAAGAAATCAAACTTTAGCACGCACTGTTAATAGTTGTAGAACGGAATGGCTGATGGTGAGAGGGAGCGGGGCAGAGGGGAGGGGTCCACGGCCCTGCCCCAGCCCCAGCCTGTCTCAAGCAAGGGCCACACTCTGGAGTGAAATGGGGAAGGGGCTGGGCAGTGGCCTACGGAGACGTCTACGACTGGACCAGTCCCAAGGGAACACACGGGGCTGGGCAGGGGGCGGGGTGGGACCCAAGCAGATTTCCTGAAACTAACTCGTTCCCAGCTGAACTTGCTCTGCCCATCTGGGCCCCTGGGAGAAAGGGTGAGCCTCTGCCGCCAGCTTGCAGGGGGCCGTCTTGCACTGGGAAAGTCTTCGAAGGTCCTGACATCCAGTGGGGCACTGCGCCCTGTACATTTCTGGTTCACGGGCAGCCAGATGTGCTTGAAGCCAGGAGGGGTCTAAGGCGCTCCCTGCACCTCCCCCAGGCTCCCAGAGCCACAGTGCCTCAGAGGAGACCGGAAGTCCTTTCTGGCACGGGGCATCCTGATCATAGCCAGCTGTCTCCTGTGTCCCCCTTCCTGGAGGTCCAGGGAGTGACGGCCACAGCCTCTGAGTCCAGTTCAGGGGCCTTTCACTGGGGAAGCAGTCCAGAAGGCACCACCAAGCAAAGGCAGAGAGAAAGTGAAGGCACTTGGCAGGGCTGCTGGGAGCCAGTGCCTGCAGTGAGACCATACTGGAGGGGGCCACAGCCACAGCAGACAAGAAGGTGAGGGTCTCTCTCGCTGGTGGAAAAAGGAAGCACCGGTGGCCTGCTGCCCACCAAAAGCACCAGGGTCTGAAGTGTCCCCTGGGCACCACGCGGTGCTCATCCAGCGCTGGGTCTCTCATCAGAGCACGTCTCAGGAAGGGCCAAGGCAAAGCGGGTAGGGCTGAGAGAAGGTTCTGGAAGGACAAGGAAGTCCACCAGTTCAACCTCCAGGGGCAGACAAGGTTTCGAGGGGACGAACTTGCTGATCATTCCCTGGAGAGGCTGTCAAGCAGGAAACGCAAGCAGGCGAGAGGTTGCAGGTGGGCACAGGAGTCTCGGAGACTGGGAGATGGTACTGGGGTCCCAGCGAGGGTGGCGGTGGTGCCCCTCTGTGTCTCTGCAGCTGGCACGTGCGCTGACATCAAACTTTGGGGAAACAACGGCCCTCTTCCCTCAGGCCAAATCCTCACCGTCTTTGTTCTCTGCCCACCGGTACCTTTTCGAGTTGGTAAAATTCCATTTGGCTGCTTGGGAGCTGGTTAAGCTGGGGGAAGGCAAACCCGAGGAGAAAACAACATGTTTTTTCCCTGGTTCGTGCAGTTTTCAGATATTCCTTTTGCTCTTCTTGAAAACAGAACGGCTCCTCTGCAGGAAGACCCAGTTTGTCAAGGCCAGGAGGAGGGGTGAACACAGGAGGTGGGGTGGGGATGCTGGCAGGGTAGGAGGGGCCACTGCACAGCGAGACAGGGCTCGGCAAACTGCAGCCCGTGGCCCACGAGCTAAGAAACATTTCTATATTTTTAAAGATGTTTGCTTAAAAAAAAAAAGGATGGAGATCACATGTGTCCCACAGAGCCTAAAACAAGTATTATCTGGCCCTCGTGGGGAGGAACTGCTATGGAGGAGGTGGGGCAGTGGTGAGCTTGGGAGTGGAGCATCACGGGACAGACGCTGTTCAGGGCCTGGGTGACCACCGAGGCAGTGGGCAGGGAAGAGCTGGTGCCCGCGGCTCCTCCTGCAGTCCAGTCTGATGGCTGCCAACACAGGAAGCAAGGTGACAGGAAGGGCAGAGGGGCGCCGGCCCTCAGTTCTGTGCAAGCTCCAGTTGGAGCCACTTCCTCCGGCTCCCCCAGATCCAAGCCAGTGCTGCAGCATCTGCCCCCAGGCAACTTGCCACTTGGAAGGCAGCTGGCTCTCTGCCGGGCATCTTGTCTCATGCAGGCATCCAGCTGGGTTCCTGAGGGTCCTTGGGTTCGGGTCGAGCCCCACTGGACAGGCTGTCTTCAGTTTGCCAAGGACAGTCACTGGCAGCATGTCCTGCTGGGCCACGCGCCGGAGACAGGACGCTGCTGTGGCGGAGCTGCTTCTGCTGGGGGCCTCGCCTGTCTGCCCTGGAAGCTGGGGTTGAGGTCCCAGCCAAGAAAGGCAGGACGCTCCAAGGAATTTGCTCGCTCTCAGAACCCTACATGCTGCCAATGAGCCGGGCTCGGCCTTGGCTTCCCCTCCTCCTCCCTTTCTCCTCTCCCAGGCTCTTAATGTCCTGGTCTCCGGCTCCATGGACAGCGCTCCCAGGAAAGACCTGAGCGATGGGAAGAATCCCCAGAGCCTGCAAGGAAGCTCATGTTAGGCTGGGCGGCGGTGGACGGGGGTGACAGCGCAGGCCTGCCTTGGGCTGGGAGCACACGTGCAGAGACCCGGGGGATGCCACAGAGGGGGCCACCTGGGCCGTGGTTCAGGCCACACAGTGACGGAACACTCTCCCAAGCAGCGTCTAAGGCTTTGGGGGAGAACCTCTCAGGTTCGTCCTCAGGGGCTGGGTCATTTGGAGGAGGACGGAGCCTTGGAAAGGCTGTCGAAGGTCAGCAAGACAAGGGGACAGGGCTGATGGCAGGGATGGGGGAAGTGAGAGGGCGGGGAGGAAGTGTGGGGCGGACAGGCGGCAGAGTCGGGTTACATGGGAGAAGTGACTGGAGGGGCAGGGATGAGTGCAGGAGGGGCGGAGGGAGGACAGGAGCAGAGGGCAAGGCTGGCAGTGGGGCTGAGAGCATCCTGGGACTTGCTGGGATGGGGTCGTCCGTCTCGGGGACTGCAGTGGCATCTAGTGTCTCCACTCATCTTTAATCTCGGGGCTTTCGCTGAGCCCTGGAGGCACCGCGGGAGCCTGTGGTTCTCATGGCACGGGGCGGGGGTGGGGGGAGGGCCAGATACGAATCCTTCCACGGGCGGGGGGGGACTTCAGACACTAGCCACGGAGGCTGGGGAGGGGGCGGCCAAGGCTGCTTGGCACCCTGCCAGAGACCACAGGCAAGGCAGGGCTCTTCCCAAGGAGATCTGGGTGGGGGAGGGAGATTGGGGAGGGGAAGGAAGGGGCTCGCCCGCTCAAGGGGAGGACTTACAGGAAGGATTTCATGTCCAAGCCTCGGTTTCGAATCTGCCCCACCACGTGGTCCCAGCTGCCCGGGTTGGAGCGGCTGCGGCCCCCGGCCGCCCGGTACTTGGAGCCGGCCGAGGTGCCTTGCCGAGCCTGGCCCCGGCCATAGGGCCCCGGGGGTTTGGGGGCCCCGGGGGCTGAGGCCGCGGGGGGCCCTTGCAGGTTGGGCCCCAGGCTCTGGGCTTGGGGGGGGGCTGGGTTGGGGCTGCCCGGCCCCCGCTTGCTGGCTGGGTTCAACCGGTTGCTGCAGGCTCCTGCCTGGCCGCAATCAGGGGGGCGGGGTCGCTGGCATTTCGGCTCTCCCGTGGAGCTGGGGATAGACTCAAGGGTAGTGGTCGTGGACAGGGTGGAGTCCTCGAAACTTGGGGCGGGTGGAGGAGAGGAGAGAAAGGAGAAGCAGGTGAAGGGATCACAGTGGAGGAGAAAGAAGCCGAGGGCCAGGGCGGGGAGGCCCCAGTGCAGGGCGCGCTCTGCCGGACCTCGCCAGGCCTCCATCGCAGGTGTCGCCGCTGCCGTCGCTGCCACCGCCTCACCCAGGAGGCCACAAAGCCCGTGCCCCTGCCCTGAGGCCCCCAGGCTGGCCCCGCCCAGCCCACCCTCTGGCCCTGGCTACCTCCTGTCTGGGCCGGCCTCTCTGCCAGTCTGAGTGGGCTGCGGAGCTGCTGTGGCTGCATGGTGCCGGCAGGTCCCAGGGCCCTGCGGCTGCCTGTGATGCTCCAGCAGGAGGGGTGGGAGGGAGCTGCCGCCGCCACCTCCTCCCGCTGTCTCAGGGGGGACACCAGCAGAGTCTGCTCAGTGCTCTGAGTACTACTGTCCTTTGGAGGCATGAGGAAATCCAGGCCAGCGCGGTGCTGGCCTAGTAATGCCTGGTGAGGCGCGGAAACCAGCAGCTCTTCTGCTGTGTCCTGGGAGGTGAGGGCTCCTTGGCCTCTGCCATGGGGCCATGGCTGCCCCGGGCCCAGGCTCTGCCCCACTCCCAGGGTTCTTTGCTTCCAAGGCCCAGCTTCCTCCAGGGTACCTGGGAAATGACCCAGCCAGAGAAGGGGACCAAGGGAGGGGAGCAGATTGAGGGGGCAACCTCAGGAACCACGCTCTGGCCACTGCACCCAGTTCTGACAGAGAACAGGGTGACTGTCCTGTCTTTCATGCATGTGGGGGGTGCCCATGTCTCCTGTGGGAAAATGCTGGGAAGTGGAGCAAGGCCAGACAGGAACTAGGACACGGCTGGCGGTCAGGGGCTGGGCGGGGTCAGAGAGACCTGAGATCCGTCTCTGCCTCTGCTAACTGTGGGACTTGGAAAAGTTACTCTGCCCGTCAGGCCCTCAGTGTCTGCATCTGCACAATGCGGGTGGCAAGAATCCCTGAGCTGTCTCTATGGCAGAGCTGCCGCGAGGGCCGGATGAGGGCTGGCTCAGGGAAGGGCTCCCGTGCAGTGGTGGGGGACAGGGGTCCTTGGTCTCTCATCGGATCACCTGCTTGCCCTGTGCACTGGCCCAGGATTCCGACACATCCCCCGGCAGGGGCAGAGCCAGGCTGTTACTGCAGCACTGCTGGGCTGAGTGAGAGGCCGGACTGGACAGTGCTGAGAAGTCCCTTCTGTTAGCCTCAGAGGGCCCAACCTCATCCTCTCTCCCTTCTCTTCATCTCCCAATCCAATAGTCTAGGGCAGGGGGTGGCACACTGCGGCCTGTGGGACAAATCTGGCCTGCCGCCTGCTTTTGTAAATAAAGTTTTATTGGAACACAGCCATTTGGCATGAGTTTCCATACTGATTATGGCTGCTTCGTATTACAAAAGCAGGACTGAGCAGTGTGAAAGAGACAGCAAGGCTTGCAAACCCTGGATGCTTCCTGTCCTGCCCTTGACTGAGAGGGTGCGGACCCCTCGTCTCGGGCCCAAGGGAGGAGGCCCTAGGGTCCTCGGGAGCTACCTGCACCACTGCACTCAGACCTCAGCTCTGCTCGCCCCCTGAACCTACCCTAGGAACCGAAAGACAACAGTTAGGCTACCCCTGTGGGCCGAAAGAGAGAAAGAGGGCAAGGGCGAAAGAGGGAGAGAAAGCGTAGAGTAAAGAGAGAACAAACGAAAGAAGGAGAAGAGAGCGAAACGTGGCTTTAGCTGGGGTCTCAGTGGGGGCAGCCCTGCCTGACTCAGGCTCGGGACCAGCTATCGCCAGGGGCAGGCTGAGGCCTGGCGGGCCAGGGAGGTCCACAGCTCCCCGAGGGGCCAGCTGGGGCAGGGGGAGGACGGCTCCTTTCTGACCTCCTTTTGGTTTCCTATCACATCCAACATTAGCCCAATTTACAGCCTCTCAGTGGCAGGAGACTAAAATTGGTCCCTGCAGGCCTGGAGCCAGTGGACGGTCCAGAGGCCTAGGCAGGCTGAAGACTGGCAAGGGGCGGCCAGGGGAGGACAGAGTGGGACCAGGCTTGCTGAAGGGGGGTGGGGCTTCCCCTGGGACTCTCCTGAGAGCAAATGGCAGGGGAGAGATCAGTTTGCATCTACTCAAGACAACAAGCAACCGAGGCCTCAGGCCAGTGACCTTCGGTGGTCCCAGTGCCAGGAACCACAGGTCTTCTGTCAAGAATCAGGGAGGGGGTCCCTAAATCAGGGCAACGGGATGGCCCAACAGCCAGGAAGGGGGCAGGTCTGCTGGTCTTCAAAGCTGCTCCACTCACTCAAAATGGAACCTGCGTCCCAGTGGGTGAGAATGGTCAAAGTTCAAAGGGCGTAGAGCCTGGAAGTGCTCTTCTGGGCAAACTGGAAGTTTCTAAAAGCCAAGATGAGAATAAGGCTATTCCATGGGGTGGGGGCACTATCTGTGGAAAACAGGGGCCCATCCTATGTCCTTCACCCGAGATGGGACTGGCCACTGGACAAGCTCGGACAGCTATTAGAAAGGGAACAGCTCTTCCGCCTGGCATCCAGACCCTCTGACACCTGCAGCAGGAGCTCACTGGGGTGCAACAACCCAACCTCCAAGAATACCCAACCCCAGTATCTGGCAGTGGGACAGCTCGCTGACCAAGACTGGAACAGCCAATGGGGATGGCTGAGATGAGATGAACCAATGGGGCAGCTTGTCGGCTGCTCGTGGGTGGGCCTCTGCAACAGATGGTGCATGGTGCAAGCAAAAGCAGGACAAGCTGATGGCGCCACTGGATGGTCCAATGCTGGGTCTAGAGCCCTCTGCTGGCAATAAAGAGGAAAGACCCGGTGGCTGATGGGTGGCATAAAACATGGGCTGAAAAGTGGGCAGACTTTCTCCAAGGATGGACCCCCACAGGCCTTGCTGCCCAAGGGGGGTTGACCTGACAGTTGAGATGGGGCGTCCAACCAAAGAGGATGGGATGAGCCAGGACTGAAATGAAGCTGCCTGGGGCGGGGGGGCAGAAATGGAATGACCTGGTCATTGGTAAAAGAAGAGGTTGATGGACAGCTGCCCAGGGCTGCAATGCATGGCTGAGTTAGTCATGCCCGATGGCAAGGATGGTGGCAGAGTCTCATGAAGTGATGGAATGAGCCAGGGGCCGAGGACGGCACCTCTGGGGGCAGCAGCGGGAATGCCAGGGGTCCCGCTGCCCACCCTGGCGGGGGCAGGCCTGAGCTCATGGCTCCGGCGGCCATGGGGCGCCATCACTCACTTGGACAAGTTGAGCTTCCCTGCGGCCAGGTGGCTCTGCACCGTCCGCCAGCGGCCTCTCCCCGCCTTGCCACCGCTGCCCGGCTCGCTGGGGGCAGCCCCGCCGCTTCTCAAGGCGTCCTCTCCGGGTGGCGGCACCGGCGCCGGCTTCTCCCCCAGCCGGCCTTCCCGCTCCACCGCCAGCCCCGCCGCGGCGGCCACTTTGGCGCCCGACAGGAGGGTGCCACTGGAGGCATGCGCGGAGCAGCCAGGCCAGAGGGGCACCAGGGGTGGCGGTGGGGGAGAGAGGGCAGGCCACACATGGGGGTGGGGGCGGGGTGGAAGAGGAGGAAAAACAATGACAGGAAAAAGGAAGAAAGAGACAGTGAGAGAGCAGGAGAGACAGACGGACAAGAGACAGAGAGAGAGAGAGAGAGAGATATCAGCACTGCAAATTAACAGCGGAGCCTGCAGAGAGGAGAGAGGGGCACCGGGCGGGCTGGGGGTCGGAGAACAACGCACCACGACAACGGAGGGGGGACCCCTCCCCACCGCCTGGGGCAGGGGCGGCGGGGGTGGGGGGAGGGTAGCCACCTCCAAGTCTATCCCACAGGACAACGAAGGGTTAACGACGGAGGAAGAGCGGGCTGTCCAGGCCAGGAGGCCCCAAGGCAGGGAGAAAGAGAAAGCCGTGTTAGTCAGAGTTCATCACCACCACCACCACCACCATCACCGCCACCACCGCCACGGACCACCGACCACCGACCACCGAGCAGCCACGGCAGCAGCACACAGCAGGGAGGAAGAAGCAGCCACGACCGAGAGGGAGGGACCAAAACGGGCAACCCCATCCTGACTGCGCGGAGGGTAGGTGGGGGGGGCCGGGACCAGCTTGGGGGTGGGGTGGGGGCCAGGCGTGGCTGCCGAGGGGGGGCTCTCCTTCGTGGCTGCGAGGCTGGCCCTGGGGGCGGGGGCAGGAGAGGGGCAGGCAGGCGACGGGGGCAGGAGGGGTTGCTCGTCTCCATGGTCAGCCTGCCCATGGGGTGGGAGGCTGGTGGGGGGAGAGGAGCAGGAGGCAGAGAGGAAGTGGGGGGTGGGGGATAGGAGGACGTGCGCGGAGGAGACTGGGTACATATGATCAAATCAGGTAAAGTCACTCACTTGAGGGACAGTCGTGGGTCGCCATAAGGGGCGTAGGGTGAAATGTTTAGAATAAACTCCTTGGGAGGGTAGGAGCTCCATTTCTGCTGCACTGTGCTCTCATTGTTATTCCAAAAGTCTCTGTCTAGATCGCTGGAGGGGCAGAGAGAGAGGGGAGAAAACAGGGAGATACAAGAAGAAACAAGAACAGCTAGTCCTGCCGGGGCAGAAGGGACCTGAGACCCCAGGGCCGGGCACACAGAGCGGGGGGCTTCCAGGGTCCGTTCCTGCAGGAGGAAGAAAGGCAGGCGGGCACGGCAGCCTGTGCCTGGCACACGTACACACACACACGCACGTGCACACGGACGCACTCACACGCACACGCTGCTGAGGGCCAGGGAGAGCCTGGCAGGAAGCAGCAGAGCTGCGGGCAGACCGGAGCCTCGCACCTGGGAAGCTGGTGGGAGAGAGAGAGACGATGAGCGAGGAGGAAGGGCCAGAGGGAGGAGAGGCTGGGGCCCAGGCTTGGGGCGGGGAGGGGTGGGGGGGTAGGAGGAGGTTTCTGGACGGGAGGAGCAGAAAGGGGCTTCAGACCCTATGCCAACCCGCTGGGCCCGACCTCCGCCGGCCTCAGTCTGCCTGCCTGGGAAGAAGAATGCTGGATGTACTTAGGCCGCCGGCTCTCAGGGTGGGGCACAGGCCCTGGTTCTGGAAACCCAAGAGTCCACCTTTTCCAATTTTCCCCCCACTGAGCCACCTCTTGGGTAGCCCCGCCTCCCTTCCCATCTTCCTCCTCCTCCAGTTGGCCTGAGGTGCCCCCTCCCCCGCCACCCCGGGGCCTCCTCTGCCCTTTCTCCCGCCCTGGAGAAGCCAAGTCATACCTGGGGCTGGGGGATCTCCTTGGAGTGGGAGACACTGTACACAGTGCAAATGTGGGAACTGAGCCAGCCCCCCAGAAGCAGGAAGTGCCCAAGGCCTCTGACCCTGCTGGGACATCAAGGCACCGGGGGAACCCTTTGAATCCTTTGTCCAGCCTGCCCTTCCCTGGGGGGGACGATAATGGGCTTTGGTGTGCACCTGGCCTGCCACGTGGGGCAGTCCCTCCACGTGCCCTTGGCCCGGACCCTCACCCCAGTCCCCCTACCCCTTCTGCTCAGTGACATGTCACACCGAGGGAGCAGAGAATGTGGAGACCTCCATGTGGGGCGAGTGACAGAGCTTGAGGACAGACAGGGGGCTGGACTTGGAAACCTCGGGAGGGGCCCAGGGAGCAGGGTTGGGAACACAAGGAGGCAGCTCCCAGGCCCAGGAGCATTCCAGAAGGGAATGGGCCATAGGCATGCTGCCGGGGAAGGAGCAACTCTGGAGCGGGCTCTGCCGCCGGCCGAGGTACACGCACCGTTGGCGAAGGAGCAAGGCTCCGAGAACCAAACGCGCTCTTGGAGGACTTGCTTTTCTCCCCCAGAAAGCCCGAGCTTCGCCTCGGTTCTCAGACTCAGAAACCAGGACCAAAGGGGAGAACGACAGGCCTGGAGGAGAGTGTGGCCTCGGGCCTTCCCTCCTGCGTGTAGACAGGGTCTGTCCGCGGCGCACCTTGGAAACGCCTCCCAAGCGGCTCGGTGCGCAAGAATTAAAGCCGAGGCCCTGAGCCAGCTCAGGGGGGCAGTGTGCGTAGGGGAGGCAGGCAGGCCTCCCGCAGGTGCGTCGGGTGTAGCAGAGACACAGCAGGTGGAAGGCCTCCCTTCCTTGGCTCCCTCCCGGTCTCCAAACTTGAGGGCTCTCCAACCCCAGGTCCCAGAGAACAAGGGTCCACCGGAGTTACCCTGCCAGGCTGGTGTCCCGCCCTGGGTCCCGCAGGTTTCTACTCGGGGCTGGAAAAGAGAATCTGTAATGAAGGAAGTCTGGGGAACACGGGTTCCTGCAGGGCAGGCGTTCTCAGAGCTTTAATGAGTATCCGTGAGGCCAAGAGGGGAGACAGCAGGTGGCATTCCCCAGCCATGGCACCCTTGGCTCAGAGAATAAACTAATAGCCATCTATGGGGCCCCACAGTCTGGGAAGAAGGCAGCTTCCCAGAACCCCTGATGAGGGGCTCCCATTTGGAAGGGGCTCTGGGCCGTAAGGAGTTGTACAGTGGGCAGGCTGCTTCCTGCCATCCCATTGGCCACTGGCTGGGGCTCTTTCTGCTCTTCCCGGGCCAGGGGCTAAGGCCACGTACCAGAGACGACTTGCTTCCCCTGGAGCACAGGGTCTGACAGCCCAGCAGGCAGGGGCAGGCTAGGGTTGTGGATGGCCGGGCCGCAGAGTCACAGAGAGGCAGGCTGGATGGTTGCTGCCACCCTCTTTGTCTTAGAGAGCCCTCACGGGCACTGGTCCCAGCCTGGCAGAGCCCGCGGCTTGCCCTGCTGCCCTCCCTCCCCCTTGCCGGGAATCCTGTCTCCTCTTGTGGGCCCTTTCTAGGACTCCTGGCCCTGCCACAGGCACCCCTATCCAGGAAGGTCTTGGTCACCTGGCAGAGACGGGCCCCTGCAAACGGCCAGCCTGGAGAGAGCACGGGTGCCGGGCTGCTACCACGTGGTCCCTGCCGCCTCTGCAGCAGCCCTGAGACCTGCCAGCTCCTGGCTTTGAAGACCGGAGAGTGTGCAACCAAACCCAGCTTCAAAGGCCTCCTCCCGAGCCGTCTTCCCACCCCCAGCCTCAGCCTGGCCCACCCTCCCACTTACCCCCCCTACGCCAGACACACAGTCGAGGCTTCTGAGAAGGCCCCAAATGGGGTCAGAGCAATAGATGAGCAAAGAGGAGGGGGGCAGTGGAGAAGCAGGGGGAATGGGGAGGGGGAGAACGGAGGTGGGAAGAGAGGAAAGGGGAGGAAGAAGCTGCACAGGGGAAGGGCGGGGGGAGGAGGCAGTGGGACGGGGGAGAAGCGAGGGCTTAGGGGGCTTGGCTAGATGGAGGGCTGCCCATCCCTCCCTCGGCCCCACAGAGAGGAAGGGGCCAGGGCCAGTGGCCCTCCAGCGGGAGCCTCCATTCCCAGAGCCTATGTCCCTGAGTCCCCAGCCAGGTGGGCAGTGACCTCTCTCCTGTCTCGCAGTGACCCTCAGCAATGGGCCAGCCACGGGCAGTCTGCAGGGGGAAGGCCGGCCCGCCCACAGAAGAGCTCTCCGCCCAACGTGGAAAAGAGCAGAGGCCGCAGGACCAGCACCAGCACGGCTCGGGGCCCTGGGCTTGGCTGCAGCCCTTCTAGGCCACCCTCAGAGCCCCGGTGGGATTGGAGCAAATAGCCTGAGCATACCGACAGGGCCTCTCAGCCCAGGAACAGGAGCCCAGAGGGGCTGGGGAGGGGCTGTGGGACAGTGTGTGATGAGGGCCTCACGCAGGGCCGGCATCCAGGGTGGAGTGGGGCACAGACTGTGCTGGGTGAGAGCAGCCAGAAGTGATAGGGGTCAGAAACACTGTGCAGGCCTAGGGGGTATAGGCAGAAAAGAGGAGACCCTGGGAATACCCTGAGGTGCTGGGGTATACTGGGGGGACCCAGGGAGTGGGGGAGACAGCAGGTCTGTAGGGGCAGGGGCGGCTCCTCCCACCTAGGCGGCTTGAGTGCCCCCACCCCAAATCATCAGCCTGGCACCTACTTGATGGCTTTCTTCTCACTGCGTCCACGCCCCGAGTCTGGCGTGCCCACGGTCTCCAAGGAATTCTTGTAGCGTTTGCCCTGTGGAGATAGCGCCAGGTCACTCCTAGGGGCCAGGGCTATACCCTCCTCACTGCCCTGAGCAGGGACCCCAGGAGTCAAGGGGGATGGCTGGAGTCTGGCCTTGGCCTCCAGGTCCAAGCCCACGCAGGAGGTGTCACCAGTGCGGGGGGTGCCAGCCCCACCAACACCTGCCCCCTGGTTGGCAGATCCTGTCCCATCCCCCTCTGCCTGCACCTCACGCCTGACCCCCAAGGGTCAGGCCCCTCCTGTCTGCCTGTATCCTGGGGCTCTGGCCTGACTCCCAGAAACACAGTTCCCTCTGCCACGGACAGACGGCTCTCAGGCGCCTGGCCACGTCACACTGTCCACGTCACCGCCCCCAGATGGTGGGGGTGGCATCCTGCAGGGCAAGGTTGGCAGCGGCCAGTGACGTGAGCGCAGGGGGTAGGGAGAAGGCCACATGCCAGTCCTACCTAAGGCTGTGGTGGCCACTACCTGGGGGCTCCCCTGGGGGTCCCTGCACCCTGAGGCTGTGAGGCTGGGGCAGGGCCTTTTTAAGAAGGGGTGGGTGAAGAGTGGGCAGCCTGGGTCCTTGGACAGTGCCCAGAGCTCTGCACACTAGCGGGGGGACGGGGAAGGCAGCATGGCGGGGGGCAAGGGCAGCAGGCACGCCAGGTCCTCCCAGTAGAGGAGGGGCTACGGCTGCAGTGGCAAACTGGGCCTGCTGCCGGGAAGGTGAGCACCATTCACCTTCTCGGTTTGGGTTTCTAAATTTAGCTCATGCAGAGCCCGGCCCCATTAACATTCCTGGCTGCCACCAAGCGTCCTCATGCGCACCCATGGGCCGTGGGCCCGGGCCAGGCCCAGAGCTGCTGCGGGCAGTGGGGGGACAGGAGCCGTGCAGGGGTGGGGCTGCCCCCCAGTCCATTCTCCCACTGGGCACTGGCCTGCCCCTGCCGGCGGGGGCCTGGGTGGACACACACACGCGCGCACGCGCGCGCATGCACACGCACGCCCGCACACGCACATGCTTTCCTGGCACCCGTCATGTGCACCAACACCACAGCCACAACAGTCAATTATCCCATCCTCCCTAAAGCAAAATAAGAGCCGCCACAGCCACACTCCCGTCGGCGCTGCAGCTGCAGCCCATTCTCGGCGCGGCACGGGAGCCAGGAGCTGCCTTTCTGGGCCGCGGAACTCCCAGGAAAGTGCAGGCAGTGGGTGAAAGTCCTCGTTCCTCCCCAGAGCTCTGCCTTTGGGCACCTTGGCCCCAGCCATATACACACTCCCTCTGGCACCATGGCCAAGTCCCTTCCCCTCTGGCCTCATCCCTCCCTTCTGAAGAGGTTTGGTGACACCAGGTGCACCCCTTGGAGAGTGCTGTCCTCATCCCAGGCCCGATTTCTCTGCTCACTGTCCTCGGCTCCCACCCTCTGGATCACAGCCCCTCCACAGCAGGGCTGAACGCTGTCTAGCACCTAGTGCGGAGCCCAGCACCGGGCGGCTCTCAGACATCACCTGCTGGAAGCAGCCCTTCTACGGTGCTCCCCTGCGGTCTGGGTCCCCAGCTGTTGGCTCTGAGCCAGAACTGCAAGAGTTAAACTGCAGAGGTGCTAGGACTCTGTGGGTTTGCAAAAGCTGCCCCCTCTCTTTTTTTTAAAATTTGTTTATTCGGAAGGCAGAGTTACAGAGAGGCAGAGAGAGAGAGATGTTTTCCATTCGCTGGTTCACTCCCCCATCTGGTCCCAATGGCCAGAGCTGACCTGATCTGAAGCCAGGAGCCAGGAGCTTCTTCTGGGTTTAACACATGGGTGCAGGGGCCCAAGGATTTGGGCAACTTCTACTGCCCTCCCAGGCCACAGCAGGGAGCTGGACTGGAAGTGGAGCTGCCAGGACTTGAACCAGTGGGATGCTGACACTGCAGGCGGCGACTTTACCCACTATGCCACCAGTGCCAGCCCCAAAAGCTGCCCTCTCATGGCTCTGTCACTGGTCCCTCCCATCAAAGCCCAAACAAGGGGCCAGCACTGTGGTGCAGTGAGCTAGGATGCCACCTGCAATGCTGGCATCTCGTATCTGAGTGCCAATTCCAGTCCTGGCTGCTTGGTTTCCAATCAGGCTCCCTCCTAATGCAGCTAGGAAAGCAGTGCAAGATGGCCCTGAGTGCTTGGGCCCCTGCCCTGTGCTGGAGACCCTGCTGGAGTGCCCAGCTCCTGGCTTCAGCCTGGACCAGACAGAGCCATTGTAGCCATTTGGGGAGTGAACAGCAGATGGAACAGCTCTCTTTGTCTCTCCCCCTCTCTCTGTAACTCTACATTTCAAATAAATAAAGAGATGCCAAAGCCATCTTTGGCAGGACCATCAGGTGAAGGCCCAGCCCCCACAATGCCCTGGGGAACTCAGGCAAGGTCCTCTGAGTGCATCCCCAGTGCCACCCCCATGCTCTCCTCTCTCCTGCCCTTGGCAGGATAATCTGTCTAGTTCAATGTCCTCTTCTAAGGTGGGTCAGCTGCCCCTAACCCAAGGCCAGGTAGGTCTGGGGTGACCATTTTGGCTTTACCCAGGGCATTCTGGGAGCTTCTGCAGCTCAGAGAACCCTTTCTGCTGGCTGTGACTGTTACTCCATAGGAGGAACTGAGGTACTATCGGGGCCTGGGGCCAGAGGAGTACTTGACTGGGGAGGTCAAAGATGGGGAGGGAAATTAATGGGGCTGCCCAAGATAATAGGAAAACCAGGTGGTCCAGAAGCCATGAGGCCTCTCATCAGAGAGGGGCTTGGCTAGGCTGAGCTAGCATAAGCCAGCTGAAGATTAAGGAAGTTATTAATGTTTGGAAATGGGATCTGAGCTGTCAGGGTATCACGTCACTGATGCCGAGGGCCAGGCAGGCAGGGAGAGCCCCGCAGCTGTCAGGGGAGGGGAGGCATCCTACAGACCCTTGCACAGAGCAAAGAGACAGCCTGGACAAAAAACTCCCTGGTGGGCCAGCACTATGGCGCAGCAGGTTAAGCCGCCGTCTGCAGAGCTGCCATCCCCTGTGGGCACTGGTTTGAGTCCGAGCTGCTCCATTTCCAGTTCAGCTCCCTGCTAATACATCTAGGAAAGCAGTGGAGGATGGCTCAAACCCTTGGGCCCCTGCACCCACGTAGAGACCCAGAAGAAGCCCCTGGCTCCTGGCTTTGGCCTGGTCCAGCCCTGGCTGTTGCAGCCATTTGGGGAGTGAACCAGCATATGGAATCTCCCTAACTCTGCCTTTTAAATAAATAAATAAATCTTTGAAAGAAAGGAAGGAAGGAAGACCGGCTTTCTGGCTTCTGGGACCAGAGGGGCAGGGGCTGGTTGTGGCATGGTTTGGGGAAAAAACATGGCTCTACCCAAAACAAGTCGAGAGAGAAGGGCTGTGGTCTGTCCCCTGGGAGGGCTCCAAGTTCGGGTTGCAGGAGGGGCTAGGACCCGGGAAATGGCTGGTTCTGCATCTCTAAGCAGCCCAAAGTACTTCCTGCCCTGACAGCTCCTACTAGCTACAAAAGCTGTATTTTTTGAACTCCTGTTCCCAGGCCTGGCCCCTGACTGGAGGCGAGTTGGGGTGGGAGTGGAAGCCGGCTTTCCCTGATCCTAGAAGGTGCCTCTCGCTGGACGTGCGCGTGCGCGTGCGCACGCGCACACACACACACACACACACACACAGTCACCAGTGGGGTCTGTCCAGACAAGCTCCTTCCTCTGCCTGGCAATGCAGACAGACAGGCAGCCTGCAACAAGACACACAGGGCTGCAGCGCATGCGTGCAGTCATTCCTGCGGCCTGGAGGACACCCACAGCCCAAGGCACAAGGCCAAGACCCCTCTACCACCTCCTCTGAAACTCTGAGACAGGAGCCCAGGAAAAACACAGGCAGCCGGCCTGGATCCCCACACCCGCACACAGGAAGCAGGCCCCAATCACACAGGGGGAGAGAGCTGGCCTTCTCCGTGGCTCCTGCCGGGGAAGATCAAGCCCCCGGGGAGAGACAGGTGCAGTCCCCCGTGTCTGCCTTTCTGGGAAGAGGCACACTGGGTTAAAAGGTCCTTGAGGCCTCCCCATGGGTTCCTCACCAGACCCTAAGCCCTCCCCCAGGGGTCTGCTCCACAGCCCGGGGCATTGAGTGCCATGGCCACAGCCCCCCACCCCTCATCTTTAAAGACCCTCTGCAGCTGCGCAGGGCAAGATTGGGGTGCCCAGGTGCTGCACTCTGTCCTCACTTCCACCATTCCCCACGGAGTGCCTGCAGGGACCCTCTTCCCCGACCCCTGCAAAGGTCCAGCACGTCGGCGGACATCCTTACAGTCCCAAAGTCCCACCGCACCTCGGGGCTGGGCGGCAGGACACGGGCTGAGGTGGCAGGACGGGGAGGAGTCCGCCCTTGGGGACTGCGGGTTGGGTTGCGGGCGACCGGCTCCAGCCCCGCTCCCGCTCCCGCTCCCGTAGCCCTAGGGTGATGAACGTCCCTCGTGACGGCCTCGTTACTTATTGATGGCCTAATCCTGCTCGTTAATTCCCCAGCCCTCGTTAAAAATGAAAAGATGCCGTTTGTGCTTGTACAAACCCCAAGAACCAGGATGGATGTGCCGGCGGCTGGGGGCGGGCGCACGGCGCCTCCTCATTGGCCAGAACGCCCGGCCCGGCCACGCCCCCCGGGGGTGTAGGCGGAGGTGACCCGGCACGGCGCCGCGGGGGGTCCGGGCAGCGATTCTCAGTCTGCACGTGTCTGCCTGCGGCTCTCGATGCGGGAGAAGTCGCCAGCCGCGAAGAAATGGGTGAGAGACCAAGCTTGTCTGCGAGCCTGTCCCTAGGCGTGTGGCAAACGCAAGGTGCACGTGAATCGAGGGGCGTGTGCCTGACACTTTGGGCAGGTAGGTGGGTGTACTCCAGAGAATTCCAGATTCTGCAGTTGTTGGGGGAAGCAGGGGCAGGGCCCCACCCCCATCCCAGCCACCAGGAGCCCTCAGGAGCCCTCAGAGCCTCACCAGTTTGCGCTGACACCAGTGGCAGAGGCCGCAGAGGACGACAGTGACGCTAAGGCTGACGGTGATGATGGCAGAGACCAGCAGGACATCGCGGGTGGGTGCCCCTGGGGAGGACACGTACAGGTCAGACCCTCATTGGCCAGGGTTGGCCACCCCGATCAGCTGCCTTCCCCCTCCATCTGTCTCCCACAGGGACCGCTCTGAATCCAGGTTTTACTCCCAGCACTGGAAAGCCACTTTGCCCACTCTGTGCCTCGATTTGCTCATCTGTCAAATGGGAGAACTGTGTCAGCTGGCATCTTGCTGAGTCTCTCCCTGCATGGATTCTGTGTGAGTCTGTGGATCCGGGCCATCCTCCAAACTTGACACCCTCCAAGCAAGAGGTCAAGTGTGCCTCAGCCAGGGGTCCAGGGTCCGTCACAGGAGCCAGCCCCTGCTTCTGCACAGCCTTCCTGCCCACCACACCTCCATCCACCGCCCCCCGCCCCTGCCCCTGCCCCCGGCCCCACCCACACTCTGAGCCCCAAGGCCACTGAAATCTGGGTAAAGGGTTGGCCTTGGTTCTGACAATCCCTGAGGACATGTGCTTAAGTGCTTGACCAAGGCTCAACAGCCACGTGTGCAGTCGGAGGGGAATCTTTGGGACCACCCAGCCCACTGTGGCCCCCTTCCACTCGGCTCTCCTTGGCTGGAAGCACCCCTGCCCTGTCCGTCTCTCAGCGCCTGAGCGTGCCTCTCGCCTCCTGCCTCCTCGGGACCAGCCCCATGTAGGTTGTTTGCACCATCCCAAATGCTCACAGGGGCTGCCCCGCAGCTTCCGTCCCCAGCACAGAGGGGTCCTGGGCTGCAGGAGCGGAAACCATGTTCAAATCCTGCCTCTCCAAACAGTGTGGCCTTGGATAAGTCACAGAACTGCTTGGTTTTCTCTGCAAATGCGGACGCATTTCCTCTCCCGCCTTCCTCGGAGGTGGTTATAAGCATGAGCCCAAACCAGAGGTGAGGAAGGCAGGGCTCAGGCCACAAAGTGTCACACTGGGGAGCGAGCGGAGGGAGCAGGGCAGTGCAAATACGTGCATGGAGATGTCCTCAAGTCAAGAAGACGCCATGTGTTCACAGAGCAGCCTGTGTGGGCTTTCCGGTGCCAGTGACCGTGGTAATTAAAAGTTGACAATGTCTGTCTGGTCCTGGCTCCTGTGGTTTTAGCTTCTGCTTCGCTTCTTCTTCCAGTCTCTCTTGTTTTGGCCATGGAGATCTCGGGGGAGGCCCCTGGCAGGGGTCATACTTCCCCCTAGAATCCCACTGGGCTCCACCTCTCCCCAGCTTCCTAGAACCCCTAGGTCTGGGAAAAGCCCCCCAGGTGTCTGGGCCCCACCTGGCCACCTGCCAGGCCAGCCAAGCTTCTGCCTGTACCAGGTCCACAGCCTCAGCTCCCAGGGAGCCCCTGTGCCTCAGGCCCACAGCACCGATGATTCTGACCCAGACAAGCAAAGTGTAGACCCCAAGATCCTGCCCCTCTCTCCCCCAGGCTGAGGAGCACAGCTCTGCAAAGCTGTAGGTGTAGGGGCCACACCCCCGATGTTCTCAGGCCACATGGGAGGCCTCAGACTTGAACATCCAGGCTTCTGAGGTGGGGTCAGGGCAGGGCACACCCCGGGGCCGCACGGCGCAGGCAGGTGTTTCTTCCAGGCATGGGCTCTGAGCTTGCCCCAGCTCTGTGCCCTCGCTGCACCGGAAGGGTCAGGAGCACTACATGCAGATGAACCCACACTTCAGGTGAGCTCGCTTTTAAATAACGGAGATCCATTCTTATGTTGAGCACCCTTCAAGGATCATCTATTAAGGATGCACACAGGGCCAGCACTGTGGCGTAGAGGGGAAAGGGGAAAGCCACAGTCTTCAGTGCCGACATCCCGTATGGGCACCGGTTCAAGTCCCGGCCACTCCACTTCTGATCCAGCTTTCTGCTAATGCTCCTGAGAAAGCAGCAGAAGATGGTCTAAGTCCTTGGGTCCCTGCACCCACGTGGGAGACTCAGAAGAAGCTCCTGGCTCCTGGCTGCAGATGGACCCAGCTCCGGCCATTGCGGCCATTTGGAGAGTGAGCCAGTGGATTGAAGATCTCTTTCTCTCTCTGCCGCTGCCTCTCTGTAACTCTTTCAAATAAATAAAAACTTCTTAAAAAAAAAAAAAAAAGGATGTACTCTAAGGCTCTGTGTGTGTGTGTGAGTGGCAGTCTTTCTCAGATTGGGGAGACATGTAGAATTCAGCTAATAATTTCCTTGCGATTTTGCAAAAAACATTTCAAGGAGGGGATGTGTTGCTAAGGAAAGCTGGGCCCCTCTGGAACATGACCCTAGGGGCCCCTGTGGCGTGGGTGGATGCTGCCACCTTCCTGGCCGCTGACCCCTCCCCCAGATCTCCCAGGGCCCTCAGCATCCCCCAGACAGCCCTTGAAGGAAGGGGGAAACAAACGCTTGCTGCTGCAAATTGCATTGATGTTGTGAATGAAAGTGACAAGATGTCCTCAGCCTGCGTGCCCTCCAGCGATGCTGCCATCAAGGGGTGCAAGAGCGTTCTTGCCTGCCAGCCACGGCGAGCCGCCCTCAGAGCACGCAGCCGCTGTGTCTCCAGCTTGAAAGAGCCTCCAAAGTCAGGGAGTCAGGCCCCCCGGGGGCACACCCCCCAGGACAGCCCTGTCGGTGATGGGAGCTGAGGCTGCAGCAGGAAGGTCCTCCTCGGACCGGCATCGCTAGGCAGGGCTGCGTGCCCCGCGCTGAGCTGAATCTGTCTCTTAGAACACTCCCCGTGGTCCTAAGCCTGCCCTCCGGAGCTGCAGGGAACAAGCCAGCTGCCTCTGCCACATGACAGGCTTCCAAATCCTTGGCGACAGTTCTCATGTCCCCTTCAAGTCTTCTCCAGGCACAGCCGCCCCAGTCCTCCCAACCCTTCCTCAGATGACATGCATGGCTTCAAGTCCCCTTATCGTCAGCACATTAACATTTGGGGAAGGAAAACATTGCAGCCCGAGTCAGCCTTTTGACAGGGCTGAGTTCCACAACCTACCCTTGGGCAGAGGAGACAAGGGTCCCGGAGGGTGAGACACAGACAAGGGCAGACAGATGACATCGGGAGACAGGATGAGCCAGGAGCTGGGCACAGCCTGGCCTCCTGGGCCCAGCCCCAGGGGTATCCTGGGAGGGAGGTGTGGACGCCAGCATGTTGCTGCTCCTCTGCCCAGGCCCACGGCGAGCGAGTCGGCTGGCGGGGCTCAGGATTAATGATCCAACCACATCCAACCATGTCTATGGGCAGAGCTGTGCTCCTGGCCGTGCCCCTCCCCCCAGGAGCTCTGGGGGTAAAAGCCTGCAGCCCTGGAGGTGCCCACCTCCGAGGGTGGCCGAGATGCCATGCAGTCCTTCCTTCTGTGTGGCAGCTTCGTGAGGGCATCCCTGCCTTGGGGACAGAGCCTGGTATACAGCAGATGCCACACAAATGCTTGTCAGACAATGAATCTCAGGTCTCTAGGAATAAGGATAATAATGAAGCTACCATTTACTTATTTATTTTAAAGATTTACTTATTTGTTTATTTGAAAGGCAGAGAGGAGACAGAGAGAGAGAGACATACAGACAGACTGACAATCTTCCATCTGCTGGTTCACTCCACTAATGCCTGCAACAGCCAGGGTAGACTAGGCCGAAGCCAGGAGCCAGGAGCTCCATCTGGGTCTCCCAAATGAGTGACAGGGACCCAAGCACTTGGGCCATCACCTGCTGCCTCCCAGGTACACAAGCAGGAAGCTGAATCAGAAGCAGAAGATCCAGACCTCAACCTAGTACTCAGATATGTGATGTAAGCATCCCACAAAAGGGCTTAGCCCACTGTCCACAATGCCTACCCCAAAACTGCCATTTATTAAGCACCTACTGTGTACCACATGACAGGGTCCATGAAGACGGGGGCTATGTCTGCTTTGCACACTCCAGTACCCTCTATGGCAGTCTCAGTATCTGACACACTGGAGCTGCTCGGTAAATATTTGTTGAATGTTCAACGCATGCATATGTTATCTCATTTGTTTCCCAAACAAGCTGGGGAGAAGAGAGGGAGATGCTGCTCAACAGACTTTAAGAGCCTCTGTCTTTCACACATGTGTGCACACACATGTGAACACACGTGCACACACACACCAGGACCCCTTCTGTTCTTCCCCCACACCCAACTCTAACAACTTCCTGATATTTCTAGACCCAGTTGGGGCCGTTGCCGCGGCTCACTAGGCTAATCCTCCACCTAGCGGCGCAGGCACACCAGGTTCTAGTCCCAGTCGGGGCGCTGGATTCTTTACTGGTTGCCCCTCTTCCAGGCCAGCTCTCTGCTGTGGCCCGGGAGTGCAGTGGAGGATGGCCCAAGTGCTTGGGCCCTGCACCCCATGGGAGACCAGGAGAAGCACCTGGCTCCTGCCTTCGGATCAGCGCGGTGCGCCGGCCGCAGCGTGCCAGCTGCGGTGGCCATTGGAGGGTGAACCAACGGCAAAAGGAAGACCTTCCTCTCTCTCTCTCTCTCTCACTATCCACTCTGCCTGTAAAAAAAAAAAAAAAGAAAAAGAAAAATCTGGCTAAGCTTCTTCGAGACCACACGACCTGATCTCTGCATGCCTCGGTTTCCCCGTCTGCGAGTGGAGGCTAGTAGGAGTACTGATCTCACAGGACTCTTACGCTGCTTAAAGGAATTCGCACATTTGCATGTGCTCAGCACAGTGCCCGACAAAGTAGGCGGGCAGTGAGCGCTAACTATGATAGCACTGGCACGTCGCACTCTGCATTAGGGCTATCTGGGGCTGGCCCACAACAAGTGCTCAGTGAAACACTGAGCCAGACGCTCTAGTTTTCCCCGTGGGGCTGCAGAGGTCAGGGGTCACATCTGATTCAACTCTGTGTACCCCTGACTCCCTGCCCGAGGACCTGGCCCAGCGCTGGATCATGGCCCAGGGCCTCAGTGAGCACAGGGGAGGGCGGCTGAGCCATGAGGATGTGAGGTGGGGTGACAGCTGGAAGCCAGGCTGGGCCTCAGGTGTGAACTCTGGACCCTACCTGGTCTCTTGC